TCATGAGGAGATATCTGCGGCAGCAATTGGCCTTCACGCAGCCGGAAATGCATCACTGGGCGCACAATCGTCATCAAGTACTGTGTTCAATGGTCGTGGTGATGGAACGGCAGAATCAGCCTTCACCCAGCGCGCAATGCATCACTAGGCGCATTATCGAGCGGCCTCTACACATTGCCTAAAGCGGCTAGAGCGTGTTTGGGGCTGGGCACGCTGGTCTTGGCAGCCTCAGAGGCGCAAGCGCATTGCTGCAGCCACATGGCAAGCCAGACTTAAAAGCCTGCCAACTTGATTCCTACTTTACCACGGACTCGATTCTTAAGCGGCAACCTCACTCTCGCCCTCTGATCTGAACTCCTTGACCAAGACCACCCACCCTCCTCGGCACTGCTGAAGATCTGCTGACGCAGCTGAAAGAGCTTTCCAGCCGGCCTACACAAAGAGAACGGCGGTCCACATCCACAAAACCAGAAGAAGCCCCCCCTCCTCCCAGTAACACTACTGCCCGTTCCTCGAACTCAGACCAGGCACTCCGCTGCCTCTCGACGATTAACAATTCTCGAGTCAGAAAGAGCCCACATCTGCGCTACACAACCCATCTTCACTCACTTCCTGCCCCTCTCACCCTGCGCTCCCCTCCACCACAGGCTCGCCCCAACAGCCCGCCACGATGACGGACGCTTTAGCATCACAACTCAACAAGACCTCGTTGAACGATGGCGCCGAGGACCCGAACTGGAAAGACTCACTCAAGCTTCCCGCAAAAGATACCAGACAACAGACCGAAGATGTGACGGCGACCAAAGGCCTGGAATTTGAGGACTTCTACATTAAGCGGGAATTAATGATGGGCATATTTGAAGCCGGGTTCGAAAAGCCCTCCCCTATCCAAGAAGAGACCATCCCCGTAGCCCTCACCGGTCGAGATATCCTGGCTCGAGCAAAGAATGGAACGGGCAAGACGGCCGCGTTTGTTATTCCTACCCTCGAACGAATCAACCCCAAGAACCCCAAGACGCAGGCACTCATCTTGGTGCCCACTCGCGAACTCGCCCTCCAAACATCACAAGTCTGCAAGACTCTCGGCAAGCACCTAGGCATCAATGTCATGGTCACGACGGGTGGGACGGGACTGAAAGATGATATCCTCAGGTTAGGAGAGACAGTACATATCATTGTCGGCACGCCGGGCAGAATCCTGGATCTCGCGAGCAAGGGCGTTGCGGATCTGTCGGAATGTCCCATCTTTGTCATGGACGAAGCCGACAAGCTGCTGTCGCCCGAGTTCACCGTCGTCATCGAGCAGCTGCTTTCCTTCCACCCCAAAGACCGTCAGGTCATGCTTTTCAGCGCCACTTTCCCCATGATTGTCAAGGCCTTCAAAGACAAGCACATGCGCAATCCCTATGAGATCAATCTCATGGATGAGCTCACCCTTCGCGGCATCACTCAGTACTATGCCTTTGTCGAAGAAAAACAGAAGGTCCATTGTCTGAACACGTTGTTTTCCAAACTCCAGATCAACCAGTCTATCATCTTCTGCAACTCGACCAACCGAGTCGAACTCCTGGCGAAGAAGATCACCGAACTCGGCTACTCCTGCTTTTATTCGCATGCCAAGATGCTGCAACAAAATCGCAACAAAGTCTTCCATGATTTCCGTGCTGGAGTCAGTCGGAATCTGGTGTGCTCGGATCTCCTCACTCGAGGTATCGATATCCAGGCTGTCAACGTCGTGATCAACTTCGACTTCCCCAAGAACGCAGAGACGTACCTCCACCGTATCGGTCGGTCTGGCCGATTTGGTCACCGTGGTCTGGCTATCAACCTGATCAATTGGGACGACCGTTATAATCTGTACAAGATCGAACAAGAACTGGGCACCGAGATCCAGCCGATTCCTCCGTCCATCGACAAGAGTCTGTATGTGTACGACAATCCGGAAAACATTCCTCGTGCGTTGCCTCCTCCTGCTCCGGCTGCCAAACCGAACACGTCAACTGCCCCGACCAATCAGCATGCCACCAATGCCAACGGTCAATATCCGCAGTTTAGGAAGTCGCAGAACCAGTTCAATGGCTTTCCGCAGCAGTACAACAATAACAACAATCAAGGACGTGGTGGATATCGAGGCCGAGGTCGTGGTCAGGGTGCTCGAGGGCGTGGAGGCCACCCTCAACAGGCGGCGGCTGTAGGTCAGACCGCTCAGTAATTCCTTCGTCGTGGCGGATCCTGTGGTGGTTTTCTTTCTTTTTTCTGTTTACGGCGTCTGTCTATCTCTTCAGGGTTACGAAGGGTCTATGACATGCGACATGCGCAAGCTGGGAGTTTCATCATGGCCGGCTAATACGGTTTTGCTGCTTACCGGATCTGTACAACAGCGTACGTACAGTTTCTGCTTCTTTTGGCACAGGGTGTTTTCTGGATCGAACAGACGGCCGGACGGCGAGCGGCTCCTTGCTGAGCAAGATTCGGTCGGTGTTTCATGGCTTATGACACTGTATGTCCTGAAGAGCCATGTTGCGATGGGAGTCGCAGGGACGACTGGCGCAAAAGTTCCAAGGATCATGCCGGACTTCTACATGGATTGTAGATCTGCATGGCGTTTGCTGGCTATTTGCTTTACTCTCATTCAATCTCAGACATATCAGCCCTACAACGACCCTCCCTCCAACCCACAGGCACGATACTCGACACCCCCTCTATTCAATACTACCTACTTTCGACCCCAGCCTCACGCTACGCCCACCACACTTGACGGACACCGAAGCCATCATCGACGACTTCAACGAGCTACTCAGGACTTTCTTTTCAACCCTCTCCAAAACAGGGAGACTCAACCATCGACTACATATTCCAACACCATACGTCCTAGGCTTAAACTTCAATACTCCTTTCTCGCCCTCTTACTCTCTTCCCACCACCTCTGTGTATCCGCGACGCTTTACACTTGACAGCCGACGTCACCTGGCGTGTGTCCTTGCCCAGGACCCGACGTCAACAAATCTCCAACGCAATTTATTACTCGCATCCATACCTATCTCCGCCCACGCGCACAGGTCCGCTCGCTACTTTCGCCCACAATGGGAAGCGGACTTCAACTCATTATGGATGTAGGCCACCACAGAAAATTCCAGAAAACCATCAAAAAAAGAATAGGAGGAAGCCAGGAGCCCGAAACCCCAAGGATCGAGGCATCGGAGAGTCGGTTGAACTGGGTGCCTGGACGCAGAGCCTAGTCAACCAGAACATCAGATAGGATTCTCTTCGAAGGGAGGTTCAAGCTCGACAAGGAACAAGGCAAACTAGTTATAGGTAGCTCTACGGGATCGATGTCTTTGCGCATACATAGCTCGACACTAAGCTTGCAAGGATTCGTTCCATGCGCCACAGCTCGATCTCGAGATGGAGACTAATGAACAAGACTGCCTTTTTTTCCTCTGAAACATAAGAATCTGACTTGTGATTCGTCCCATGTATACATTGCTCCGTTCGTGCGTCCTCCCCGTACTGATAACTTGGGACTGTTGGAATATGTGGCTTATCTCATGGGAGCACGGGTCCATCTCACTTCACCTCGCCTCACCTCGCCTTACTCTTGATAGTCGGCCAGTTACAGTAAGTAGTGCGTAGGCCAGCGTTCGTAGGCCAGCGTTCTTTAAAAATGGAAACCCTTCACCCTCACCCTCACCATCCACAGTGCCATCACATCTGAACTGCGTCTGGTCTGGTCTGGTCTTGTATGGTCTGGTCTGGCAAAACCAACTTGAACCTCCAGAGCGAGCCTTATGTACTACACATCGACGGTGGCATACGGGACATGGGACGTGAGAGATGAGACGTGGGACGTGGAACGTGGGACTCGAGACCATTCCCTTACAGGGGTCTGAACGGTGAGGTGTACCGCACATTGAGTGTGCCGCTTTATATTGCATTGTGTTGCATTATACTGCCCCCCGATCATATTACAGCATATTATCTCGTATATGTATCGTGTAATACCGGGAGAGCGTCCGTGACTGATTTGAGTATGCGGAGTACGTACCGACTGATATATAATACTTAGTAAAGTATAACACTGAACTCCTCGTTCCTCGGACTAGCTGGTTAAATATCGTAATGGGGCTGACGACGTTGTGATTTGGCAAGGCGGCCGTTTCCTTGTACATGTGTACATGTGTACAGAGAAGCAACCTGGGCGTTCTGATTGGTGGAGCTTTCGCGCAAGGCTGCGCTTCTTTCCTTTTTGTTCGGCCTTTTTGCTTTGGATAGTTCATAGAGAGGGGACAGACAATAGACACCCCCTCAGCTGGCAGACATCGCCACCGTTCCTTTGAGATGTAGTGAAGTTGATCCACGAGAGGCATACTTGTTGGTCCATGAAGCCTCATCCCAGTTCAAGGTATAGATACATAATCAAGTACTCCGACAGGTCCACCGTACAGCTTGTGCTCGTCCTCTGACTCTTATGGCTCATCATCGTCACCATCATCGTCACTGTCCTTTCCGTACATTGTATTTTGTTCAGGGAGGCCCGCGTCTCTGGGGTTTCAAGTGGGAATGAAGGTGTAGCTATGTTACATTCATTGCATATGGGGCTATAGTAACATAGGGTCAACATTGAAGGGTACATGGTTTAAGATATAGGGCACATGGTGTACGATATGAGCGCAACTCAGGGCATTGGCTGCGGAACGTGTGCCGTGCGTGTGTGCACTGCGACGTCCAGGTGTGGTGTGGTGTGGTGTGATGAGATGCTTGAATTCATGATTGGGGTGGCGTGACGATTACTTGAATCCATGATTGAGGTGGCACCACTATGAGTACGGAGTGCGGCCGCGAGAGAACAGCTCGAAGAGGTAGATTTGGCCCTGCATCTGCAATGCTGCCTGGCGAAGATCCTTTCTTTGTCTCGCTTTGTGATGTGGTTGCGGGCCAGCACGATCTTCCCTCCCTCTGACGGGTCTTTGGCGGGAGAGGGTCTCGTCACGAATCCTCGCTCATCCCTCGTGAGGCGTGCTTGACGTGTGATCACCATCGACCTCGTCTCCTGGTATCGCTGTGGTAGTCAGGTCCACGTCGACTTCCTTCATTCCGGGAGCGGAGGGGTCCTCATTATCTCCTTGAGGAGTGTCTATAGATGCCGTTGCGTCTAACCCTGGTGGGACTGATGTGCTGGCTGCTCCCATATTGGTTCCCTGGGATATAGGTGCAGGCAAGTCCTTGTCAATAATTTGAGAAGTGTCAGTGGGCACGGTCTCGCGCGCCACTTCCGACATAGCACTGACCGCTGGTTCTTCTTTGTCTTCTTTCGATAAAGCGAGGGAGGCTGCTTCGTCGATCTCTTCTGGAACGGCTGCGCCCATCTCTGCCCCCACCAGTATCGGTAAAGGCTCAGCACCCTCATTGACGTCTTCGGGCATAGCCATCGGGGCTGCCTCGTTCACTTCTCGTTCGGCAGCTGTAGAACCTGGCTCCTCTCGGTCTTGGGACGCGGCAGGAGGCACGGCCTCTTCGTTGCTAATTTGTGAAGTCGTTATGGGAGCGTCCTCCTCCTTGCTCTCCTGCCGTATTGCAGTGTGGTCAGCCACTTCGTGGATTTCTTCTGGCTGAGCCACATTCGTTGCCTCGTGGATATCTTCTGGCAGAACAGCTGGAAGAGTCGTCTCTTCAATGACCTCTGGCAAAGCTGGAACTGTTGTTTCCTTATTGCCTTCCTGTGGCTGGCCAACGTCCGCTGGGTCACCGCTATTTTCTTGTAGCATGGTCGAGGGGCGTTCTTCGTTGATCTCTTGCAGCACGGCTATGGGATCTACCACCTCACTTAACTCTTCCGGCAATGACGAGTCGGCCGCTGCTGACACTTCCGCTGCCTCTTCCGCCACATCGTCTTGGACTTCTGGTGGTGCACTCGGAAGCTTTGACTCTTCGATAGTTTCTTGCGGCTCAGCTACATCACCGGCGTCGTGGTTATCTTGCGGAGTAGCTGTTGGCTCTTCGTGGATCTCTTGCGGTATAGCTGGAGCACTTGGCTCCCCGTCAATACCTTGTGGAACGACTGCGGGGGCTTCTTTCGTGCTGACTTCTTGCGGTATAACTGTAGGAGGTTGGCCCTCGCTCATCTCGGCGGGCAAGACCGCTTGCGTTGACCCTGGCACTTCCGGGAGTTCTCGTTTTCGTTCCGTGATAGGCACGAAGCCAATCAGATTCATACCATTTTCGAGTACCGTCCGGACACATTCGTAGAAGACGGACCTCAGTGTGTTGTGATTCTGGGATGGTGACACGCCTGATGATGATGATGGTCCTTCTCCTGCATCGTCGGGCTGAATCCCCGTATCCTTGGAATCAGTGTTGTTCTCGTCTTCATCCCATACGGACGGCAACATGTCAATCACCTGGACCAAGTACGAGAGGATAATGGCAGGCTCAAGCTTGTCAAACGCGTGCCTCACACTAATCGGGAACCGAGCCAACAACTTAAGTATATCTGCGTATGTTTCTTCCTCCTTGAAGAACGTGTAGTCGAGATCTCCGTGTTCGAGGCTTTGCTGATCTTCACCACCCTGAACCTTTGACCTCAGGTTATCGAGCCACCGCTGGACTCTCAAACCGGGGTAGTTATCAGCGAGAGCGCCGATCTTCTCATCGGTGCCGAGAGTGAAGTTGAGCGTGGCCGAGCGTTTGGTGGATAGTTCTTGGCTAATGAGAGCAAGCCTGGCAAATTCACTGGCGTCAGTCAAAGCTCCGTCAGCGTTGATCCCGTAACTCTGGAAGAAATCATCATTGCCGTCTGCCTTGAGGCTCTCTTGCATCACCTCCTGGCAGTGTTCAAGGATATCGCCCAACAGAAGCCCGCTGCTCCCTGGCTGTGGTGACAGGCCTCGAACGGGACCGAAGTTCACGTGCTGCAGAGATTGTGCGAGGTCGTGGTACTCGTCGCCCATCAGCTCCAGCGTCCGGAACAGCTGCTGGAAATGAACGTCTTGCTTCGCAGAAACGACGTAGATCATCTTGTCGAAGTTGTATTTCTTTCTGCGCTCGAGAACCGCTCCCACGTCGCGGAGGAGATAACTGGTGGTCCCGTTTGGATGACGTGCAGTCACAGTTGGGAGACCTTTCGCTCCATGCTTCTTAAAGTCAATGATCCAAGCTCCGTTACTCTCTTCGTAGATTCCTTTCTCCGTAAGAATTGCCTCGACCTCGGAAATGGTGGATTTGCTGACTTCGGATTCTCCCGAGTAGTCGTCAAAATTGATGTTGAGCTTGGAATATAAGTCGGCATACTTTGTGACACAGGCCTCACGAAGGCGCTTCCACAATGCAACGGCGTCGGCATCACCGTCCTCCATTTTCTTGAAGGAATCGTCCTGCTGAGTCGAAATCGGGACGCTTTCGTTGACTCGTGCCTCGCCTTCGGTTTCGCCTTCTGTGTTGGTCTCCTGGCTAGCCGAGGTTTCGGCCTTGGACAGTTCGTCAATCTTGGTGTATACGTCGAGTAAATGTCGGAGCGGTTCATCTTCGAGAAGCTCGTCCGAGCCGAACCTGTGCCATCCAACAGCAAGAAGGCCGATGTGCTTGCCCCAGTCGCCAAGAAAATTCAGACGTCGTACGTCCCATCCCATGCCCTCATACAAGGAAGCAATGGAAGCGCCAATGATAGTGCTTCGCAAATGGGCACCATCGAACTCTTTGCCAAGGTTTGGCGATGAGAAGTCCACGATGACCCGTCTCCTAGAGACTCCATGAAGGTCGCCATCTGTGAGGCCGGGAACAGGGCAGCCGCCATAAGACCTGCCACGGTCGAGGATATATGGCAGGAGGATGCGAGCCAGAGTTTCGGGAGAAATGTACAGTCGGAGGTGGATGCCGTCCTCAAAGGGCTGGTCAAAGAGAGGTGTTTCTGGAAACTAGACGCAGCGCAGACAATGGGTCAGTAGACAGGCTGCAGAGTTTGCGGCGGGTATACCTTCTCGGCCAGACTGAGTGCGAGCTCCTTGGGGTCTGATCCTTTGAGGCGCAGTCTCGGAACAACCACTTCCAGATCGCCGTAGTCATTGGGTTCCTGGATCGAATCATAAGCCACCTGCGGCTCGCAGTCAGTGAGCTTCACAAGGACTTCTGCCAGGTGCGCCCGATAGATGTCAAGTGGCCTAGTCAGAACGTCTGCGGAGGGGAACGGATTGCCCGAGTCTTCCACGCCCAACCCATTGAGGAGGACCTGGAGACTGTCGGCGTCAAGGGTCGCCATGGATCACGGCCGTGTGTCAATTGAAGGTGGGCAAAACACGGCGAGGACATTGAGTGAGCAGGAGGGAGCAGTACCCAAGTAGTTGCCTTTTGGCAGGGCGATGCTGCTGCTCTGCTGGCCGCCCAATCAGCTTCACCAACGAATCATCTCGCATTGGTGTGCAGGGCACGGACATCGCAGACAGCTGGCAACGCCACGTAGCGCTCGCCCTACACCAGATGACACGTCTCTTGCGCGGTGAGTGGTGTCATGGGCACCGTGAGGCAGGGAAGCGATCCTATCGAAGCCATTCGCCGTCGCTCGGGGGCAGAAAAATGTCCCAAAATCGACCTTCCAATGGTTAGCAATGTGTTCGAAGCGATATGAGCCTGACGCAGCGTACCATTGGGAGCTCAGAGTCTTCAGGCTCAAGGGGACAGGGTGTAGAGGAGCAGGTATGGAGGCTAGCATGATGTCGCCCTGCACAACATATCCCCGCGGCATCGTGCTTTTGGTCGCATTCACGAGCCTCAACACCGATTGGGGCTCGTCAGACTTTCAGGAAGAGGGCTTGGAGGCCGTACAAGGCCGAAGTTACCATGAATACGAATTACTGGCATTTACGCGGGATCAAATGGGGCTGAGGTTAAGTTGAGATCACAGTGAGTTCCGGGTCAGCGCAGATCAACGGGAAGCGGTTCGCTAGCGGCCGAACAGCTCTTCGAGCTCGACGCCGCAATTCCCCACCGGTCAACGGAGATCCTAGAAATCGACGCAGAACTGGAAGAATCCACAGAGTGGAACGTGAGATGATCTCTTACGTCTAGTACGACATCCCGCAGGCCTCATACATCCATTCCCACCGAGGCCGTAGGCTGGGGGCCGGCTCTCCTCCACGACGGCAACGTCCAAGCAGACGATCCCGGCGTGTCAGTCGACGGAGGATGGGGGGTTGAGCTGGCCGATCCTGTTCGCACGCGTTCTGGAAGACGCAGATAGATGGCTTGAATTTGCTGGCTCAGACCAACACTATCGGCGGCACTTCCAACGAGCTGCCACCACGACGGATCATAGCCAAGGTGAATCAGGAAAGTTATGATCAACAGTGCGCATACGAATGCCGTGGTGTTGGCCTTGAAGGGGAGCACATGATCCTGCATGGAGAAGATGCCCGTCGCGATCATCACCGGGTAGATGGACTTGGAGATGAACTCGGTTTTCCGTCCCATTTCACACGGGAACTGCTTGAGTCGATTCTGTTCAGTTTCATTGAGACTCTCACACCTGGCGATGGCATTTTGGAGCGTCTTCTTCAGCCCCTCCAACTCCTCCAAGCTCTCGTTTATATCCGAGACCGAAAGAGCACAAAGCTGCGTCTGGAACAGATTTTGGTACTTGCAGAGAAACTCGTCAATGGCGTGGACTAGATCAGTTAACTCCATCAGTAACATCTGCGATAACTCTTTGACTTTTGCAGTCCACTCGATGGTATCGATGGCCTGGATTTGCGGGTCGGATGGACACTTCTCAGAGGGATTCTGCCGGTCATGTTCAGATTGCGCATAATCGCGAACGCTGTCGTATACTCGATCCACATTCCGCATAGACTCGGCCGTGACTCCCTTAAGCTGGTACGCCAGCGTCCTCAAAAACTTCTGGCGGGGATCCGGGATAGGGATGTCGGGCTCCGCTTCGTCGCAGGTGGATGGATCGACGGCAACTGTTCCATCAGCGTCTTGACTGATCTCATCGTACATATCCGTGAGACTAGTCCCATCTGGCTTGGAATCAAAGTAGGCGTCTTTGACACAAATTGTATCACTCGTCGACTCATCCCTTCCCGCGACCAGATAGGATATCTGTGCGTCGTAGCAATGAGTCTGAGGCTGATTGCCTCTGAGGTTGAGGGACGAGACGTTTCGATACTCCCGGAGAGCCGTACCATTCGCAAAGCGCCGTGTATCAATGTTTGGCGTGTCGGAATCGCGCATCACCTTGTAGCGAAGATGGAACGCAAATTCAAACTTCTGCCCCTGGGGATGGATCTTGACACGTATACAAGGCCGGGCCTGAAGATGCCTGTACACCAAGGAGGCGACGGCGCTCCTCTGATAGTGTGGCGCGGTGCCGAAAATGGCACATATGGCCCAAGGATCCAGGTCATTGAGGAACATGTGCCTGTGTCGTACATCCGAATGTTGTGGCTGACTCGACTGACATCGGGGCTCTCGGAGCGCTTGGTACAGCTGTCGCGCAGTCATTGGCCCTTTGTTGCGTCTTTCGCCGATAACACCACCATCGATACTCCTCTCATGCAATAGGGCCCTGGGGCTTGAAGAAGGGCCGCCTTCCGCTCCCTCTGCCATAAGGCGTCGAAGAGTTGTCCCGGGACAGAATGCCCCGACCTTATCGGCTTCGGCCGAGATCTCATCATTGTCCCTCATGAATAGAGGGACGATATCCGCATCCATTTGCGCATCTCGTAATTTGTCCACCTCCTCTCCAGAGTCAGCCTCACTCTGCGCCCTCCATTCCAAGTGAGACTTTCCCAGATCCCTGAGGTTCAAATGCCGTCGCCGCCTCGTGAATTCCGGATGCCACACAACCTCACTACCGCGGATCGGGTCCCGAGATCGTGGCATCGCTTGAGATGTGATTTGAACAGCGCAGGCTGCGGAACGGGAAAGGACCAAGAGGCATGCGGCAGCCGGGGCGGACAATGCGTCGTCAACTTCCGTCGTAAGTGAGGAGCGTCGCGATGCGTATAGGGGAAAGGAGGATATTGCGAACAGGTGGGAGACAGCATCTTGTCTCCCTCTCCCAGCGCAGAGAAGAATTCATATTATAAGGGAGGGAGAACAGGGCGCGCGCCATCCGCGAGCAGCCATGTCGAAGACGAGCTGATTCTGCGTTAGCAGCAGTGTGTGACACAAGCTGGCTTCTGATTTGACTGCGCGACGCCGTTGGGCGTCGAGAGAGGAACTCACCGAGTGACACGTAGCAGCGTACACATCTCAAGACCCAAAGTTGTCGCCCCCTACCGTTTTACGACCTTCTCCTTCTCACAGCGTGGACACCTCGGGGCGTTGCAATTCGGGCACGATCCAGTCTTCATGTTGATGGGCGAGGTCGCGCATCGACACTCAACACGGCTATCAGCTTCGACATCGGTAACGACGGCAGGGGGGAGGCAGCTCTCACGCAAGTCCAGACCCACGTAATCTTCTTCGGCGGCTGTTCGATCGAGGTCAGCTGGCATTCTCGCCCAGGGAAAAGGCAACCTTGGTGCGTGCCGCTCAAGGCGAACAAACACTTTGAGAAGGCAACCAAAGTGGGAGAGGATCCAATTGTGTACACATTAGGGCTTTACCATTTTTGAAATAACCAATTAGCTCCAAGTACGTTCAGTTCCATCTATTGGGCATCTCTCTTCGACATGGCTGCTTGTCACCTGATTGTGCAGACCGAAGTCATCAGCAGGCTGTTCTCCTTCCTCCTAGATATACTCCGTACTCCATCCTTCTCCTACGCGCTGAGAACAGCCAAAGTCTCACCGCTAATTACTCATGGATAACAGTTGAGCGGGCGACGACCTTGGAATGTACCCACTAATTATGAGTACTGCAGAAGCCACAAAAGCTGGTCCCGGAATCCTACATCCCGAGGCGCTATCCGGGCCGATCCCAGGTACCACTGTGGGCATCACATTCCGAGGTTGATAAGAACACCGATGGCATGATCTGTGGGAAGGGGGAGGGGCGTGATATACACCAGGTTACCCAGGTGATGGCAGAGCACCAAGACATGGCAAAGGGCACCTACAAGGGTTTTTCGAAGCTCAATCCCGATTTACACACGAAGAGGTAGGTGGTCGCACCTTCGAAGTGGATATCCGGTTATATTTGTAAAATATTGCAGCCACCGGTACGCCGTACCATGTCAAACTGGTTGTGTTGCATACACCCTAGCCTTGACGTGCTCACCGCCCGCTTCGACGCGAGCCTCGAGCTACGATTGCGGCCCTCGAACACGGGCCTGAGCAGGGAGCACTACGATCGGAGAGCGGGAGCGCTTGGTCAGGCACACGTATCTTCAACAGCCTGCGAGAAGCGATCGCCAAAGATGGACACGCAAGGCACGAAATTGGAAAAGAAGACCGGGCCTACAGGAAGAAGGTGTTCCGGAACTACCCAGTATTCAAGCAGGCGCCTTGCCCATACTCTGCCAGGCCATACCGTGGCACCTTCACCGCTCAGACTCATGGCCTTTTTCATGCACAGCGGCCTCTGCAGGATGAAAACACCGTGACTCTGCCGAATCCACGTCCCACTCGACTTGTTCAGTCCCCTGAAGCACCACGCACCTCAGACCGGGCATGGCTCCCATTTACCACACTCGCCAGCCGTCTCCATACCAGAGTGCAGCTAACGCACTACATATGGAAGTGTGACCGTCAATACGTCAACCTCTTCTGCCCGGCGCCTCCCAGAAGGCCACCTCCGCCCAACGACACCTTATGCGAAGGTTTCGTGTAGCTGCAGAAGCGATCCTTGATGCTCACGACCTCGTAGATGCCCTCATCACTGGCGCGGATCATCTTTCTGAACTCGTCGGAAGTGTCGTGGCGTGTTTCGAGAATGCGTGGCTTACTGCCCTTCTTGCCTCTGACGGGATTTTCGGAGCGAGTATATCTAACACGTCAGCATCAGCATCGATCTCCTTCCACTTCACGCAGCTCAATGTGACAAGGGGACAGAAAGGCTGGTCGGAGGATAACTCACGTGAACTCGAAAGGCGGCGTGCCCGTGAATCGGAACTCGATATCTACCTCCCCCCCCTCATGGATGTCACTCACGACAGTGCGCCCCTGCGCGATCTCCACGCTCGGAAACGCATGGACCTGTTTGCGGATGTCCTTTCTCGCACGACACTTCGAATTACCCATGGCAGAATCACTCACACCAGTAATGATGAACTCGCCAGGTGACTCGGCAAGACGCCGGAATTCCGTCCCGCTGACACGCGCCTTGCGCTCGCGCGCGTTGAAGCTGTAGAAGATATCGAAGGGGGCCTGTCCGCTTAGCGAGAAGGAGACGTGTTCGCCGACGCAGTAGTGTTCCTGGCTTTCGAGCGGGATGATCGTTGGTGGGGAGGAGACGTGCACGCGCACAGAGGATGGGTCGCTGTCGAGGATACTTTCGCAGCCGCGACCGTCCTTCACACTACGGATTGATATCGCATGGGTGCCTAGGTCGAGAGTGGCACGGGACAGCGGCCATGAGTACGTATTGGTCTGGATATCCTTTTGGCGGATGATTTCTGGACGAGTTGAGACACCGTGGTGTGTGATGGCGATTTCAACACTGAAAGGTGGTGTGCCTGTGAACTTGATGGGTATCTGCTCCGTCTCGGCTTCGACGCTGGTTGTGAAGCTAGGATCGTCCTTACAGTATCCATATGTTTTGCCCGCTTGGCCAAATGCCGCGGAAGGGGGTGCGTACACTTGTTGTTTCACGATTGTGGGTGTGAAGGCCTTGTTGTCATGTGAGTAGCGTGCGTCGCTAAGTTCGCTGAAAACGTAAGTATATTCACCCGCTCTGCTTGTGTCAAGATTGATTTGGGCGTTGACGCCTGCAAATGTAGCAGGTTTATTGCTGATTGCCGAAGGTCCTTTAATGGGCTCGAATTTCTGCTGGTATTTGACGTGGAAGGGTGCACTGCCACTGAGGGCGAGTGCCAGTGTTGCTTCATCGCCTTGACATACGGCCGGTTTGCGGAAGCTTCGAACACTTCCTTGGTCGACCGCTGAGTCTTTTATGGATAGTGTTGGTCGAGCTATCCAGCTGACTTCAAACTTGTTCGCTTTAGGATCAACCACGCCAGGACAATTATCATGCACCGAGACGATCTCGTAGGTGCCAGGGCGATTGACAGAAAGCTCTCCATTTGCATCTTTGAAGATCTGCTCGAACGAGTCCGATTCCTGGTCGAGGTTCTGTAGTCTGACAGCCCACGGGGCGATACCCTGAAGTCGTAAAGGCAACTTGACAGATTTGCCGTCTAGTGCCAATATCGAGCGCTTTCCTTCGATGTCGCCAAATGCAGCTCGTGGTTGCTCTGGTCTGACCTCGATTTTGCGTTCTTCTTGCAGAGTCGTGCGGCATTTTGATTGATCTTGTACGCCCATTAGAACAATCGAATAGCTGCCTCCATTGGTGAAGGGTGACAGCTCGATGTTGTACAGCTCTTCCTCGGAAGAAATGCTGTATTTCTTTCGCTTGCCGGCATGTACTACCTCATAATCCAGATTCCACGGTCCGTGGCCAGATAGTCTGACCGGCACAGAGACGGGGGAACTCAGGCATGCTTTGATAGCACGACCATCTCCGTGGAAGGACGCGGACGCTGGCGGTCTGATATCTTGTTGGAGGACAAGATTTTGGTCTTTGAGGGGGACAACGCCGTACACCTGATCCTCGATATCGCGGAAGCGGTACGTGTACGAGCCTGCTGCTCGTTCTCGCAACTCAATCCGACCGCGCATACCAGGGAACTCTTCAACCTTCCCATGCGCCCGGCCTTGGTGGGTGACAACGTACCTCACTTTGAATGGTGGACTGCCAGTAAAGTCAAAGTTAACGTACATGCCGATAGGATTGCCAGCGCATTTGTCGAAGATGTCTTCCTTCTCCAGAGTCAATCCAGGCTTAGGTGGGTTGGACAGCAAGAGCGACGAGGGTTCTGCAACCTCTCCATGACAATATTGGCTGCCAATGGAGTCAAGGCTGTACCTTCCAGGCACTGTGATCAGTGGCGTCGAGTGGCTATTAGCCATGTCGTAGGTATGGTGCTCCGGTTGACTATCCTCTTGCCCGTCCTCCGAGATAAAACTGTAGCTGACTTTTAATGGCCAATCCGACGAATGCAGGGAGTCTGGCTGTGGAATGCGGATAGGGAGATTGATAGCGCGTCCCTCGGGGGCCCGAAGTACTCGGTCAACATTGAGTCCTCCGAGAGTGATTCGAGGTCGGTTATGGACGGTCAAGCTCTGAACCCGCGGCGCGTGAGCATCCTTAGGATTGCTTGCAGCATAATTAACCTTGTTGCCAAGACCATCTTCTACCTCCTCAACAGTGTAGGAATGGCTTCCGTTCTGATGCAACGATTCATTGATCTCAAATGATTCGGTGGTTGATTTCGTCCAACCGATGTGAGGCCGCCGAGGATCGAGAACGACACCGGCAGCCTCGTCATCGGCAACAAGATCAGGATCCACATGAGGCTGGACATTTTGCACAATCGAGCTGAATTGCTTGTGATTGACGGTTTTGCTGTATCTGACTTTGAAGGGAGGGACTCCTGACACTTTCAAGGAGACATTGCTGAGCTCTCCTGTGCATCTGTGCTCCAACTCGGCCGAGATGGACGCTTCGGGGCATTGCACGACAGCTACATCAAAACTTCGCCTTCGCACTTCCAGTTTCGTGGCGTCAATAACGCGGTGTAGCTGGTAGAGGCCTTTCTTCGAGACTGAGTAATGCAAGATCCGAGGTGTATTTGTGTCAGACTTGTGATGACCCGCGTTGGCCTTCTTCAATAACTGTTTGGCTTGTTTGCTGCCGATTGTGATCGTCTCGATCTCGTCCGTGTCGAGATCATAACGCTGAAGTTCAATTGAGATAGGCGTCGTCTGATTAATTTGGATAGGTAGGTCGGCTGCAGGATTGGACGGATCGAGGCAAAATGACTTCTTCTCGGGATTTAGTATGGCGGATCCTTCGGGGAGGATGTGGATGATCTGCTTGCCCAAAATGATGGAGGAGTTCTGTAAGATGTCGGCAGGTTTTACCCGGTGTTCTGAGAGTGAAAGTTCGCGGTCGTATGCCACTTTGACCAAAGCGCCCAGCCAGGTCAGCATGGGAATGGGTATCTTGTACATCAAAAAAGCATTCGCAATAGCATGTAGTAACCACAATGTGAAAGTCGTAAGAAATGAAAACTCCAGCCAGGGTATCTTAAATGCCGGTAACGCCACGAAAAACGCGGCATCTATTCCCACCCACTTGAGGAACAGCCATGTTGAGTCCAGATCACTTTCGACACTGAAAGAGTTGTACAACCGCCACGCCGTCAGGGCAATGTAAAAAGCGAAGACATAGAACCTCTGTTGTGGAACGTCAATGATGTCTATTGGTATGAGTGGCGTGCTGGTAGCTATCGCTTCTGGAGAGATCTTGACAGGTTGTTTGACCACAGGAGACGGTTTCTGTGGGAAGAGCGGCGACGAGCCGGGGCCCGGGCGGCCATTGAGGTTCAGATTTCGAACTCGAGGATCGGTTCGAGGCGTGGTGGGAAAGGCCGACCGCAGTCGCGGTGTCTCGTTCATTGCACCATGCGGCTTCGTCGTCTTTTGCAACTCTGAGCGGAATGGGGATTCTGAGGGAGAACTGGATCTTTGGTCAATGACAGATCGCTGGGTCGCAGTCTGAATAGTCCGACAACAACAAGAACGACAGGTGAGACTTATTTGGCTGGTTCGGAGTTCCGGTGAGCTTGTTTGCCGTACGAAAAAGAAGAGTCTGGCGGCTAGAAATATATCTGGTCAGTATCCGGAATCGTTGTTGGCGGATGTCGTCGTCGCGATTGTTTGGACACACGCGTCTGTAATGCACTTGCACGAGCACCACGAGGCTGTCCAAACGAGGCTGTCCAAATTTCAATTCTTGGCAGCCCGTGCTTATGACGTCATTCGCAGCCTCGCGCTCCAATCCGTCTCCACGCGTGTTTCTCACCTTGACGCCTGGATGCTGCCGGAATTTTCCAACTCAGATTTCCCGATGTGTTATTTACCCAGTAGAGCACCTACTGTGTATGGCTCGGTGTCAATTGTTATCTGCGGCAATCCAATCATGAAGATGCTGCCTGGGCACATGCGACATGGTCTGAGCTAAATCCAGCTGGAAGTCATTGCCACTGTCCAGATGGAGCTTCCTCGAATTCCTCAACATCAACAACGTTTACCTTCCCGGCGCACGCTGCTGGTGCTTCTGCTGTACGATTAGATATCGCCGGAGCTCTCTGCCAAACCCCGGTCAAGATCTATCGAACCATCCAATCGAACCGGGCCGCGCCTTCCATCTGCACTGGGGCTTACTCTCCTTGTGTATTGGTCTCTGACTGTTCAGCCAGCTCTTCCTTCCTTAGCTCAATATCAGACAGTCGTCGGGCTCCTGTCCCAGCACGTGTCACCTGAGATGCTCTCCAACGAGAAGATTGTGGCTTCACCGTCTGTGGCCGGGCCACCGACGGGTGATTCGGTTCAAGAAAGCTCATTGGCTGCATCAACCCCATGTGACACCGCCTCAGTGAGCACTGACGATATTCCAGTCGATGACACCCGGACTGGTTCATGGAAAGGGTGGGCAGAACTGGAGAACGATCCGGTAGGTGGCATCGGTCCTTGAAGTACGATTGTGCTGGTTTTAATGGTCGAATCAGGTTATCTTCAGCACTTTGTTACGAGAATGGGGTGTTCCAAACGTCCAGGTTAACGAAGTGGTCCCACTAGATAGTGTTTTCGAGTATTCGCCGTAGGTCACCAAAATACAATTAATGATTTGTGCTTACAGGTTGCAGGGAGAGCATCTATGGTTTGATTTTTCTCTCTCGGTGGGCAGCGCCGGAGACAGAAAATGCCACGAAAGAGCCTCCAGCAGGTGTCTGGTTTGCCAATCAAACTCTATCCAATTCGTGTGCCACCATCGCACTCATGAACATTGTCAACAACCATGCAACGATTAACCTGGGTGAGAATTTGAATGCTTTCAGATCGAGTACAATCGACATGACGCCCAAGGACCGAGGCCTCGCTCTGGATCAGTTCGACTTTGTCAGAGACGTGCATAACTCTTTCGCCACTGAGTTCGACAAGATGAACGTCGATCTCCGACTTAAGCAAGACTTCACGTTGGTGGAGAGGAGAAGGAGAGCGGCCTCATCCAAGCGCCCGCGCAAGAAACGCAAGGAAAATGAGGAAGCTTTTGAGGATGAGAGCGGTTTTCACTTTGTCGCCTACGTTCCAGCCGGGGGTGATGTGTGGAGGATGGACGGACTCGAAAGGCTGCCCCGTAAGCTGGGGTCCGTGAGCCATGGAGACAGCTGGGTAGCGGTGGTTCTACCCGAGCTTCAAGCCCAGTTAGAGTCGGCTACGACCTATGCCTTGGAGTACTCATTGTTGTCACTGACCGCGATGACCAATGCTACCAGCTTAGAAGCAGACAAAGCGAAGATGGGCAGGACGCGAGAGGATTGGGGGCCATTTCTCGCTCAGTTGGTGAAGATACATGCTGAAAAGGGTACCCTGAAGACGGCGCTTGTGTGAGCGGGTGGCCACTACACAGAATGTGGGCGATGTGTGATGTGAGATGCTTGATCAATCAATGATGGCTTCACCATCGCAGCGAACCCACCCAGATATTCTTAGCGTGCTTGGCGTTGAGGTCACATGTTTTCCTGTGCTCTGATTAGCTGGCTGTATCGGGGCATTTACAGCGTACATGACGTGGCCAACCTCCGAAATCCGGGGCTCTTTGATTTCGCTCACTTTCCCATGTCAGATAAAGACAGGACAGTGTACACGCGACACTCTACTTGGACGACTCCTTCCACTGTTTGGATTTTGCATACAGCCAACCATACGAAGCCCCTGCCTCAAATACTGAGAACCGAGGCGCAATGCCTTCGCCACTGACAGATCTCCCCGACGAGGTCCTTCAGGTCATTCTGTCGTACTTGCCACCCCTGAGCAATATCGCGTTACAGCAGACATGTCGGCACTTTGCAGACATAGCCAATGAACCACTTCTATGGAAAGACTACTGTCAGCAAACGTTCAAGTGGTGGGATGGTCGCCACGCTTTCGAGCCGCGGCTGCGGGAAACGTCTTTTACTGGGTGGAAAGATCTTTTTGCGGAGCGGCACCGGACATCGCGATCCACTCGAAACGCTGTCGACAAGATTGTGGCCGAGGAACTTGGGCGCCTGGACTCGTTGAAGGTTGTCCTCGAGGCTGGGTATGACGCTAAGCAGGATCTGCTTGATATGTATTGGAACGCCGCTTCGTCGCCGAATTGCCTTGCTCAGAGGTCAGTATGAGGTCCAAGAGCACATGCGAGACGTACGTTTGACAACCATGCAGATATTGGAGCCACGCAGCGCTTGGCTGTCTACATCGATTGATGGCCGTACGAGAATGGACAGCCGTCAAACAGCGAGACAGCGTTAACTCGTATGAACGTTCTCTTGGCGCCTTCGACCTGTTTATCCTAGAAGAACAACTGGAGGGAGACCTGAGCGACGTAAGCTGATCTCGTTCTCGTACGAGCATTGGTGCTAAAACTTGACCCAGATCCACGCACGGCTGACTTCATACGCGGCTTCTGTCCGCCAGGCTCATCCCGACATCGACGAACTGTCGCCTCGCCAGAAGGCCGTTGTCATTGCCGAACATCTGCGTGACAACCAGTGGATAGGAATTCATGGCAACAGACATTATCACAGCCTTGACCACATGTTCCTCGGCGTTGCTCTTTTCAGCAAGAACAGGAATTCAGTGCCTCTGATTTCAGCCATCATCTACTGTCACGTCGCTCGCCAATTCAATCTCCGCGCGGCTCCGTGTAGCTATCCCTTCCACGTCCAAGCCCTAGTGCAACCTCCTCCAGGTTTCGACCTAGACGGCAATCAGCTATCGGAATCCGCAAATGGCGCCCCCTCGAAGAGCACCCACTTGTACATGGACCCTTTTAACAGCTCCGAGCCCGTCTCGCTCTCCAAGTTAGAAGCTCAGTTGAAATTCATCACACCGACCGCCAGCCCCGCGCAGACGGCATCATACCTCTCCGCCGCATCTGCCAGAGATCTCTCTATCCGAGCCGCACACAACATCCTCTCCTCTCCGTCTCACGACCCGGGTCTCCCCGTTCACCCCATTAATCCTAATCTAGCGACCTACGCCGCCCTGTTCTCCCTCGTCATCCTTCCTTCACACCCACTTGACCACCCTGCACAGATGCGCCAACATCTAGCTGTTTTGACCCAGCACTTCCTCGAGTATTTCGACCTCGACATCCACCTCTTCGAAACCCACGTCCTACCGCTGGCATACGCCCTTCCCGACTCGCGCGCCTACCGTAACCTCATCTCCCAACTCAAAGACGCAGACCACGAATCCCGCACTCCGAAATATCGCTCGGACGAGCGAAATGCTATAGTCGAGTACAAGGTCGGCCAGGTCTTCCGGCACCGCCGGCGCGGATATCTTGCCGTAATCTACGGCTGGGACCATTACTGCCGCATGCAAGAGCAGTGGATCACCATGAATCAAGTCGACCGCCTGCCTCATGGAAGGAATCAGCCCTTCTACAACGTCCTGGTCGAAGACGAATCGACACGCTACGTTGCCCAAGAGAATGTGGTGCTACTGTCTGCAGAGGAGATCACCGAGCAGCACGTCAATGCGTTCCCCATCGAAATCGGGAAATGGTTCAAGCGCTATGATCCTGACACGGGGACTTTCGTGAGTAACGTGAAGGACGAGTATCCTGAAGGTTGAGGGCGGAGAGCAGAGAGGAGAGCACAGCCCTTTTAAACAGCGCGACTATACGCAATCGAATCAAGAACCTGTGCTTGACCGCGGATCCAAGTGTCTGGCTGGCTGACAATCTAAACGGATATTTGAGCTTAGTATCTGAATCCGGGTCATCTCAACTTACCTCGAGTCGATACGTCCCAGAATTCCCGCAGGAAAGGATCTTGCATTCCATCCACTACGGCTCCATCGTCCCGGCTCAGTACCTGGTAGGTGGATACAACGACCGCAGGGTGGATATGCCGCCAGCGAGAATTGAGTACCCCGGTCCACGCCACAGGGCATTCACAGCAACCTCGAAAGAACGTATTCACAGGCCGGGACGCTGGATCTGGAGACACGAGGGGGAATCACGTCCGCAAGAACGGGGAAAGAGTAAGGAGACGATGACGAGAGACATTTTCCTAACTCGGTCTCGTCACCTTTCGTGGTGTACTCCATACGCGTACGTTCGTAAGCTGCGGGAGGGTGAGGATCAGGGCGTTTGGATAGGGAAATAAGTTCGATTTTCCTCCATACAGGCGTACGTACGTCCCAGTATACGTCGGCCCTGGACCCCAGGAGATGCGCCTGTATTCCTTTCGCGTTCCAGGTCTGATTCGTAGATGTATGTGACGATTCGGTTTCAGTTCCATAGCCAAATCGTGCTACGTCGTGCCCCATCGTGCCCAATCCCGTGGCTGTCAGCGGACGAAATGATCCGCCGCACCTCGTGGCCCTGTGCGTGCGGCACCCGCCGACTGACTGGTCGCTGTTCGGTTGTCGAGTCTCTGGGCCCTTCCATGACCGGTCGTGGAGAGAGATCCAGGAGTAGACCACCTACCTACAGGTTAGGTGACAGTGGAGAGAGATGTACTGACCCCAGTCCTCACTAAGTACGCCGTGAGGGTTGTAAAACGGGAGTCATTGCAAGGGACTCGTCTGAGAGACACAGTTTGTATACTATCGATTGGCATGGCACTCAACATGTACACGCACCAGCTGAGCATTACATATGCCCGACCCGCCCGTTATCGGTCCCTCTTGTACGGAGTGAGATCAATCCTCGGACTTTATAACGGGGCTAGTACCATTGTGTTGACGGTCACTGAGTCTCTTGAGACGCCGTAATTCGTGCTGGAATCGCTCATTGAGACTCTGCTCGGACGAACCACCCAAGCTCACGTCAACCCTCGCAGGTGAATCGAACCGCCTGACCAGACCGACCTTGGAGGCAAAGCCGTCAAAATCTGCTCCGACGATGTCTAGGCTTTGGAGATGCCCTTCTTCAATCTCGACGAGGGCCGGCTTCCCCAAGTATTCGTCGCGGGAGCTCAATTCCCAGATGTTATGCACCACGCCGACCAGCTTCTGCACGAAGTCTTCCAAGGGATACTTTTCCGCAAGGCGGTCGAAGCGGTTCATTCGAGACGCGACAGAAGCGTCCGCGACAATGGAAAACTCATGAAGCGTGCTGATGCGTAGCTTTGTCCATTCAGGGTCTTCGATACCGCCTGCCGTGTAGCCGGAACTGTCGTCGCGCAGCCGGAGCATCTCGTTGACCAGATCCATGACTTCGTCATTATAGGCGGTCGTGCCACCTATGTCAGTCGTGTCTCTGGGGTCGACGTAACCCCAGGAAAAGCAGTCTTCCAGTGATGGCAAAGCGGCTGCTTGACGGTTCAGAGTTTGAAATCGCAACGTCTCAAGTCCCGTCCGGAGCATGAGTTCACACGCGACTCGCATCCAGCGCTGCTCGAGACTCTGGTCTATCAGGTCCGAGAACTTTGCCGAGATGACCATGAATCGCGGCACCAGGTGGAAAAGCAACAAGACCTTGATGCTCTGTGGGTCAGAGTAGGGAGTGGAAGGGTGTGAATACGTCCACGCTTCATAGATTTGGCGCTCCACGTCCCTCTCGACGAGATCGGTTCTCGAAACTGTGGCTGGGCGCTTCTCCGGTCTACGAAAGTGTCTTTGACGTGCGGCCTGCCACCTTCGGCGAGCTTGGATATCGTCTTGTGCGCGGACCTTGAGCTTCTCCAGCATTTCATCCGTGAAATGAGGCGACGGACCGGATGACAACCCGGACAGGAGCACCAAGAATTCCAGGATGTCGAGTCTAAACGTCAAGCCGGGGCTATGCTCGTAGTCGGAGTGATGCTCATTGAAGATCTGTATGAAGGAGTCGAAGACGGTCAAAAGCCGCAGAGCCTCGCGTGATCGACCCTCCTCCTCTTCGTTGTCCTCGAGCCCACCCGACAGGAAATGCAGTTGTGCCTGGGTCGACTGAAACAGTGTGTAGTCGAGGATCATGGTGTCCACGTCCAGTTGCAGATCGGCGTCTGCACAGCGGATATCATCCACCATACTGCTGACAGTAGGGGTCTGGCAGTCTTCTTGCACGAATCTTTTCTAGGATCGCCCTTTGGTCACGCCAGAAGGAGAAAGGGAGCAAGTCCTAGTCCGACGAGGTTGCCCAGACACTTGATACTGTATGAATTCGTCTCAGCCGAGTTTCATGCACGCTTTGCCGTGTGCGAAGTTCAGCAGTGCATTTGTGCAGAACCATGGCATATGTAGCGTAAGCAGGTAAAACAGGCTGTCACCAATAATGTAGGTCATATCTGTGTTGTTTTCAAGGGAAGTTGAGCAAAATGAACAGAGCTGGAGTAACTTAGTAGGCCGTTAAGTTTACATTAGCTTTATGGCTCGCGCCTCTCTTGGGGGACTCTGGGCATGCCTAGAAAGTTGTGTTAGGCGGCCCACGCACAGCCTAAAGGCGACTTCGCATTGAGATTTGCTACAATGTCCTAGAAATTCTTGGACACTCGCAGATGTCTTCTCTACAACCCTAAGTCTTCGTTCTAAAACAAACGCCCTCGCCATGCAATCGTCTCTACGGGGGTATATATGCAGGATGAGCCTCGCAGGGCTCGACAAAAGTCCTTGTACATAACATATCATCTCTTCTTTCCTTTTCCGCCCTTGACCGCTTTTACCTGGGCCACAGGAGCAGCGTGATCCTCGTCTTCAATATGGTTGAATAGTCGCGTCTTTGAAGGGAACTCGGCCTTGCATACAACACACTGGAACTCCGCCACGGCCTTCCGTGCAGCTTTTTTGGCTTTCTTCTGCTTTGCTTTGCCGAGCTTTGGCTGCGCTGTTTGTTCGGGATCGGATGGAACGAGAGTGCCAGACAAGCTCAGATCCTCGAGTGTCGCGGAGGCCTTCTCAAGAGGTTCTCGAGTTAAGCGGTCTTCGACATCCGATCGGGTCGCGTAATCGTCGTTTTCATCTGGAGAGGCATCAGAGACCTCAACCTCCTTCTCCGTCGTCGCGGTGCCGTGTTTCTCCTCTGTTGGCTCTTTATCGTCGGATTCAGACACGCCTTCAGATATGTGCGCCTGTCGAGCGAGCGAGTCGTCAGACTCTTCTCTGCCGATTTGGTCTGCATCGACAGCTGCATCGCCATGCTCGCCAGCATTGTGTTCATTATCTAGGTTAAGCTTGTCACCTTCGACCCGCATCTCCTTCTGAAGTTGTTTCAGCAGTTTGATGTGCTTCTTGCTCTTCTCATGTGCTATAAATTGTGCCTCGCTTTTGAAGGTCTTGTCGCAGACTACACAATCATACTCGTGTTCCTCGATTTCAGACTCACTGGAGAACCCTCCTTCGTGTTGGTCTCTTGTCCTTGACTTGGCCCAGTCTGGAACGGCGTCCTCTCCGGCTCCTTGAAACTTGGCCTGCCGTGCTGCTCTCGATCTCGCGGCCTGTGCTGCAGCCGCTTCTCGGAGGGCTTTTTGCCTTTCGGCCTCGGATACCTGGTTGTTCTGTACCCGGGGGTCTCGTTTTCGGACAAAAGCAATGAGTGTACGCACTGCCTCGTTGTATTCTTGGATGGCCTCGTCTCGTATCTTCTTGTTCTCCTTCTCCATCAGCCTGCGAATCCTCCTGTCTGGTGCATCTGACAACCGGTATTGATCTTTCCAGGCGTAACTCTTTCTTGTAGCAAACCCAGTCCATGCAGCGTAGAAAGGGCGAACCACATCTTCATAATCGTCGTCGCGGTGTCCGAACTCTGGGTATTCCATGGGGTCCTCGTTTTCCCACTGGCAAGCGATGTCTTCCTCCCTGGCCAGCTGCTTGAAAAAATCGTCCAGTCCACCAAAAAAGCCACCGGGCGCATCGCTGAATTCCAGACGGCCGTTAAACTTCATCATTAATTTCAGCACATCTTCCGTCGTCGTCATGCGGATGTTGTATGAAAACTCATCCCCGCCAGGGCCAGTGGCCCGGTCTCCGCGCAGGAGGATGTCTCTGTGCGAGTCATACCATGCTCTTTCTTGTGGATCTGAGAGGACTTCGTAGGCAGACTGGACTTCGGCAAACAGTCGGGTGGTTTCTTCCACGTTGCCATAATTTCGGTCGGGGTGTAATTCAAGGGCTTTCCGGCGGTAGGCTTTCTTGATCTCATCGTCGGTCGCTGTTCTTTCGACGCCAAGGAGGTCGTAGTAGTCGGCCTTCGCTGGCGCCTCGTCCTGCGTGGCGTTGCCGGTAGATTGTCGTTGGCCCATGTCTGGGCAGGGCAAAGGGTTATTGTTGCGGGGTGGAAGAAGCAACGCCACCGCCCAAATCCATCGGACGAGACACTGCTGCACGCCCTGATCGAACTAACGACATCAACTGCGGTATTCTGGAACGGATCGAAAGCCTTGTGCACCTGCTGCGCCATTTGTTTGCCGTTCGCTTAAGTCCATCCTGGTCCGCAGTAGTCTTGGATTCTTGGTCCGCCAATCACGTCACGGCTTCGGGAAAACTTTAACTTTTCGCCTTGGACGCTGATTTCTTGGTTGCCCATGTCACAAAGTCCACATGTCATCCGGTCACCTGGAAGCACAGCATATGGGGTTTTCACCCCCCGGGTCGTGTTTCCGGCGGCTGCCATAAATCGCGCGTGGCGGTTTCCAACGTCTGGGGACGCGTCGGCAGAGTGGTTAAATATTGCGCTTGCCCGCCTTTGGGGCCCTCCACGCTTGGAATGCCCATCCCCAAGACGGAAAATAGTCACGCGAGCACTCGGGTGATTAACAGCTAAAATATTTGCCTCTCATATTCTTACTCCTCCGCCCAGGTTTCTCTTCCCTGGCTCCAGGATCTGAGGATGATACAAGTCTACCATGAAATTCGGTCAGGATTTTGAATCAACACTCGCTCGTGGCGAGTACCCTCCTGAGTGGGTCAACTCAGCCATCTCTTACAAGAAACTCAAGAAATGCATCAAGCGTGTACAACAAGAACTTCTGAGCCTTGGCCTCGATAAAGACACTCTCGACGCCCTGTGGAAGCGCGTTGGGTCCTCTGACTTGAGTGAAGACCACGGGACAGCTGATAGTCTGCTCCAGTACACTGTCGACGATGGTGAAACGGTCAGCTTCACGCCGAAGTTGACGATTGTCATTGATCCCCGTGATGGCTCTCCAATGGATGCCTGGCTCAGTCCTGAGACCCGGCGAATTCTGCGACGTCTGGCCAGGTCTTCCCGAGCTCACATTGACCACACTCTCCAGCGAGATGATTCTCCGGATGAACAACGCAGATTCACTGGTGAGTCGCCGTCAGAAAACGACAAGCATCAGTTAGAACTGGTGGAGGTGCCTTTGACTGCAGACTCGGAATTCTTTCAGACACTGCGCCACGAACTGGCCTGTCTTGACGACCTGCAGAAAGCTGAGTATGCCCGGCTACAGGACGAAATCAACCAGCTAGGCAGTGAACTCCGTGCGTTGCGGGCAAGCAAGTCGAAGCGTTCAAAGAAGGAGGTTGAAATCTGGCGGAAGATCTTTGAACTCTACTCGGATGCAGAAGTCTTTCTGTCCTCTCACGAAGCAGATGCTGGGGCGCGCGACGCAGCTCATGCTCAAAAACAACTACAGGCTTTCACACAGTCTCTCTCCACGCAGCAAAAGAAGGCTCCTTTCCAATTGGGAGACAATGCCAACACCGCTCTGTCGCGGTTCCTGCAAATCAACGTCAATCTCCTTCGACTGATCAAGTTCCAAGAGATCAACCGCACCGCAATCAACAAGATCATGAAGAAGTTCGACAAGCGAACATCCCTGCCCGCGAAGTCCTCAGTGACGCAGTCGCTCACTAAGTCCTCACCCTTTATTGTGCAAGACTTGGCCAAAGCCACGTGCTTCACTATCTCGGAAGAAGTGTTGAGTGTCATTCCCCAGCTCAACGACTACTTGTGCCCAATCTGTTTCAGCGTCTCATGGAGACCTGTGCGATTACGCTGCGGTCACCTGTTTTGCATCAGGTGCATGATTGTTATGCAACAAGAGGAGAATGATCATTGTCCCCTGTGCCGGGAAGCGGTGGTGCTGGAAGCCACAGAGAAGAATATCGACTCAGAAATGGTCAAGTTCCTGCGAGACAACTTCAAGGCCGATGTGAAGGAGAAGCAGAAGCAGAATGAAATTGCCGCTGGGATTGATCGCTGGGGTGCGGCGTACGAGCATGCTCAGAGGGATAGATGCGTGGTTATGTGAGAGAGGCCGAGCGGAGGGTTTGCTTCGCGAGCGCTGCTTAGTGTAATGTCTATACCCGCAACTGGACCAGCCAGTGACTTGCTTACGAGCGATTAATCGAATGAATCTCGTACCAGACTTGGATTGGTTTCGCGAAGATCCTTGTTCCAAATGTCGACTGAATCCGAGCCGTAATAGTCATGACTCCAGAGCATGGAACCTGACGATCGTACTCGTAGCTCCTTGTGAGTTGTACCAGCGTCTTTCTGTGCTTATGTTTCCGCTTCAGGTTGGATGTCAGAGTTGTTGGCACGGCTTGGCTAGAAGGGCACCAACAGGTACGAGTCGTGGGCGCCTACTATAGGTGTACACAGTACAGTACCTAGGGTGCACGCCTGTGGCACCCGATGGGTGGTGTTTCCACCAATTAGGTGCCAGTCTGGTTGCGATGGGATGACCTCATAGCGCCGTGCGATCAACCTTCAACCAATCATAACAGCACGTAGATCCTGTCAGCTTCAATTCACTTCCCTCTCAGACGGAGGCACGATCAACATGATCACCACCGAGACCCTTACGGGCTCCTCGTGTCATATATCAATACTGCCTGCACAATACCGCGGGCACGCTTCTTGTTGCATGATGTATCGATTCAGCAAAGCCCGCTGTTGATGCCGCCGAAGTCATCGACACGCACCATCCAGATGCCATACCTCTCCGGCGGCCACCATGGGTGTTCAAGACTTTGTTCGCTTTAACCCGGATGACTACAGAGCTAAAGTACAGGGATATGACGACCAACAGCTGCAGAAGAAAGAGGTTGTACTGATCCGGACGCTATACTCGAGCACCGCGGGCGTCATCAGTGGCGTCGTTATGGCTCCTGGTACCGGAGGTGCTTCACTTGTCGGTTCCGTCGCTGGTGGCAGGGTAATGCAACTCGTTGAGCATAAGCTTGCGGTTGTCCGAACCGAACTCATGAGGCGTGGGATGCCGTTGCACCAGAAGACAACGCGAGACCAAGCCATCCCTGCGGCTACCGGTAGCGTAGCCGGAGCAATGGGTCTGTTCTCGGGCGTGGAAGGACACCTAGTCGGCACTGCAGCTGGCGCCGCGGCTAACCTGGTCGGAGTCGAAACACAACCTCTTGACCGTGTCCAAACCGCTCCAAACCGCCCAGTCGATCAAGAATCAAACAGTTTTCAGAAACTGAGGAGGTCGCTGACCGAGACTGCGTCCTCGAAAGCCCGATCCCTGCAGTACCATTTCTCATCCGAAGACAAGGATCTATTTCGGCAGTACGACAATCTACTCGAACGAAAGAAAACACTGGAAGGACGGTACCAACAGTTTCGTGTGTCGACGCTAGGAGCTGCGGGCGAGAAGTGGTACTGGTACGTGATCTACCACTACCCTTGTGAGGCAGAGAGCCTGACAAATCCGACACAACCAGGCTTGTCGATAAAATCGCTCCGACGTAGAGTCAGTGTCCGTCAATGGGACAGAAACTTTCAGTGATCTCACCGGCTCCGCGCGAGAGAAGGTATTAATCGTTTCCGGAGGGAACTAGTTGATCTACAGGGACGATTCGATATGTGACAGATTTTCATATCACAAGTAAGTATGTGGAGAGTAATCGCTTTCAGGAGAGTCTGCTCATCACCAAATAGTATCTGCCTCCAAGACCAGTTACTGCACCTACAGCCAGTGTAGAAATGATGGAAGCACCCAACCGCAATCTTGTCGTCTGCCTTGCTCTCCTGCCCACATACGCAACGGCAATGGGATGCTTTTACCGCTGTCACGCGTTTACTGTTGTCCTTTCGCAGCAAGGACTCTTAGGTGCCATGAGGACGACAAAGCGCGAAAGACCTTCCTATCCAACAACCCATGCCATTTCGCTGCCCCAGTCTGCTCCAGGATATAGCCTCTTCAGGAAACGGTGTTGGTTGTTCGGAGCTGGAGGGCTTGCTGCCTATCCTTCGGCTGCAGCTCGATGGTATACCAGAACAGGGCGATAGCCATGACAGCAGCCATCAGGACCGCATCGAAACAATACATCGGCCACTCGTATGAGTTCAGGTATCCATCCTCTCCTTGCGCGTATTCCGCCAGGCGATAAACGTTCCGAGCGACCATGAGGATTCCAATCAAGTACAAGGACAACAGAATCCGACCCAACGGCAGACCCGACCCCCTGCACCGGTCCCAGAGGGGCACGTAACGGACTCGAGCTTGCCACGTTGCTGCAACTGACAGAAAGAATATGAAGAACAGGACCTGCAGAGCTAGGCCCGCAAGGACAACGTCTCGCGCGCCCTGGATTGCAGATGCGGATTTGGCATTCCCTAACCACGAAACACCGCTCGATTGAACCTGCAAGCAGAGCCAGTCGCCTAAGAGGAACACTTTTGACATCCATTTCCTCTTTATGGGGGAGTAGTGCTCTCCGCCCGCGGCACTAATCAGGCGACCGAGGAACATGTAGACCGAAGCTGCAAGAAGGATTGGCGACAACACAATGAGGAGCACTTGGACAAGGTACAAGGCTAGGCTGTCGACGTGGTAGTGGGATGCTGCCCGAGTGAAAAAGCCGATGACTTCACCTTGGACGCTGTCAACAAGAAGTACTTCGGGTGATCAACTATTGGCTGGAGACTTACAGGTGCCTCCAATCATAAATGCTATGGTGAATTTCCGCCTCTGATTCGACTTGATCATCATTGCAAGATGCGCTATCGTCAAGACGGCGAAGATGAGACCGGCGGCAACCGCTGCCGGAACAGAGGGGACATAGTGCTTGTAATAGTTGTCGACCTTCGCCATTGGGGTTCGCCTGTTGCACGTGTCGATGCTGACCGCTGGAAGGACCAACTCGAAGTGGCTGTGGCATGAAGCACTTTATATATCCACAGTACCATTTCATGCCGAGCCCCGAGAACAGACATCGTCCTGCGACATTCGTGCCTCATCCACCAAGGTCGTGCATCACGATCCCATAGCCAGCGACTGGAAAGAGACATGCAACTTACATTGCTGCCTGGGCACTGTGGGACGGTCATCATTTCAGACGAAAAATAATCAACATACACTCCGCTACAGTCTTCATGAAGAGGTGCTTGGTTAGTCCAAGGAATGTAACCATTGGACAAGGCTGGGCACAGCATTGACGGTCTCCATGAGCGGCAGAATCAGGTTTAGTGTACGCGTATCCGGTTCTCTTCCAATCACTGCTGCCTGATCTTGCCGTCTCCTAATTACAACTTGCTGGACGTGGACCGGATACTCCCTTATTCAACATCGGACATTCAAATTCAGGGATCGCATCGAGCGCAGACATTTCGGGCATAGAATCCTCGTATCGTCTGACTGGTACTGTTCTGGGGCGCTCAACCACGGGAACGAGCCCCGACTCTCCGTGGCACATGTTATCGTATGTGGCATGCCGGGCCGGAGACCGCACAAGAAGTCCAGAACCGGATGTTACAATTGCAAGCGACGACGAGTAAAGGTGTGTGGCTTTCTTGCATACTATCTTTTCTGTCCCGGATTGAAACCATCAGCGGTGGGAACTGCGAGACTTGCCTGTTAGCTCGGTCGACGCGAGAGTACCACTAGCTACCTTGACTAGCCTCCAGCAATCCTCCCCACTGACACTCTTCATAGTGTGACGAATCCGGACCACCATGTTCAAGCTGTGCCGTCCAGCAAGATGACTGTATATATCCTTCCACGAGGCTGGTCCCTCCAGCCAAGCCAAATGTCTGTACATGTCACCAGAAGTCTGACGGCCAAGAACCTAGCAATACACGCACACCACCAGTGTCCTATTGCAGCCCTCAAGCAAACATACTGGAACTGGAATTGTGGCACGAGTGGACCTCGAAAACATATGATCATTTCACCAATGACAGGCAGAACGACAGCCGCCACAACTGGCAGATCTTGGTCCCAAAGCTGGCATTGCAATGTGATTATCTGAGAAACGCCATCTTGGCAATTTCGGCCATGAATATTGTCCTCGAATCCTCTAAGCCAGTACCGGCAACTGCGTCACATTACATGCTCGCCGCCTTGGAATATCACAATGCCGCCTGTCAAGCGTTTGGCAAAGTTGGCGAGCACACAATACCCCGGACCAACAATGACGACGAAACAAGCTTCACCACCATCTTCGCCTTCTCCATCATCAACCTCGCATTCATCCTCGGCCTGTCGCAGTGTCACGTCACCACTAATCAGGATGTCCAAGAAGTCACCAAGATCGTGGGAAACATCACAATGCTGTTCAGAGTGCTTCAGAGCTTCGGCTCCGTCATCAGCTCAGGCCTCGACGGGTTCTCGAGAGGGCCCCTTCCCGTCAGCCATGACCTATTTTCCGCGTCGTGGTGCCGGGTGCTGGATGAGGACACAGCAATGGCACTCACGAGACTCCGGTGCATCGTGGGGCGTGAAAAGGGGTTTACAGACGCTTTCAACGCCAGCGACGCCTATTCGCGGGCGATTATTTGGTTGGAAAAATGTTTCAGCTTCTATAGTGACGAGAACAGGGATGTTGTCCTTATATGGCCGATGGTCTTGGATACGTGGTTTATCCGGGCGCTCGAGACCGGCGGAGACCAAGTCTGCAGGTTGATTTTATTGCACTGGGCTGTGATGCTGCATTGGTTCGGCCGTGGGAAGCGGTTCACGGGGGGTCTGGGTGCGAAACTGGTGGACGAACTGTCCAAGCCTATGCTGGGGAAGGACGTTCATTGGGAGGAATGCATACATTTTGTGCGACAGCAAGTTGGTCTGTTGTAGAGGATGAAAACAAAGCACGCGAGAGGTGCGTGATGATGGTACTATGGTCTCCACGGCACACAGAGCCTTACTTGTTGGGTACCCGCCTGAAAAGCACACAATACAAGCGGCGGCTCGAAAGCACAACATACTTACACCCTTCCATCAGTCCGACCATCTGCCAAAGGGGAACGGACCTGGCCTAGCCTAGTCAACTCCCTATTCCTTCCCAGCCTGCTCAACAGCCTCCAGCGCATCGACCACATCCTTGACGATAACCTTGCTCATCTTCATGAACGCGGCCATGGCCGCCGACATCTTCTTCTCATCCCCACTGGACATCACCTCGGCCACCAGGCGCGGCACCACCTGCCAAGAGACGCCAAAGCGATCCCTCAGCCAGCCGCACACCTGCCTCTTTTTGTCCTCGTCGCTGGCCCCCTCGGTGAGATTGTCCCAGTAGTGGTCGATCTCTTCCTGGTTCTCGCAGATGATCAGGAAGGAGACAGCTTCGGTCATGGGCATTTCCTTGGGCCGCGAGTTCAAGGCCAGCCATTGGGTGTTGTTGAGCGTGAAGGACACGGACATGACGGAGCCGGGGGTCTGGCCGTGCTCTTCTTGGCCGGTGGTGGTGAAGTAGTTGATAGTGTCGACCTGTACCAGAGAGTCAGGGCAGGAGGAGAGAGGGGATAAGAGGCAGGCATGCATACCGAAGAGTTTGGGAAAATAGAGACGTAGCGACGGACCGCTTCTTCAGCCTGGGTCTCGAAGAAGAGACAGGGCTGGACGCTTACTGATGACACGGACATTCTGAATGGAATATATGTGTGCGTGTGTATTGGAACAAGCTGTTGTTGGGTTGGTGTTGCTCCGGATCGGTAGATGCTGAATTCACTGAACTCGATGGATTACTTGGGTTATATCGATGCTCGACGAAGGAAGAACACAGCGAGAAGACATGATGCAGCAGAGGAATTTATACCTTCTCACGCCCGCATTTTCACTCGCAGCATGAGCATACCCGGGTACAGGTGTGATACCCATGTCCTGTGAAGCTTTTGCTCCTCACGGTTCCCCGCCGTGCCCAGCAATTCAGGCTTCAACCAGGCAACAGTCGCGCCAAGGGGCGGCATGATTGGGCGGGAGCGACAAATTGTCCCGCGTCCGAGCCACGGGGGCAGCAGACGACGGTATACAGCTCGTGGGCGGCACGAGGTCAAGACACCACAAGCAAGACGAACCCATCAATTGCAGTCCGAATACGCTGCTACTACGGTGTATGTTGTGCCGACTGATATCAGATGCCTACTCTGCTGCTGAGGTCGCTTCTCACTTCTTCACGGCCGTCACGGTACTCCCGTCCGGCTGGCCGGTCTGCAACGTCACGCCGGCCCTCTCCTCCCACCGCTTCAACAACTCGGTATGATCGGCCGTCGGGGCCAGCGTGGCCGCGGCGTCCTTGAAATCCCGAATGATCAAATCCGGCAGATCGGTGTGGAAGCCCGTGCGTTCAAAGACCTCCTTGGCAATGCCAATGTCCTTGATCAACAAACCGAGCTGGAAGCCAGAGGCATACCGCCGGGGCAGCGCATCCGTGGCATAGCTGTCTGAGGTGGAGAAGTTGCGCCCCGTGCCCACGTTCAGCACGTCGATCATCTGCACGGGGTCGAGGCCGAACTTCTGGCCCGTGACTAGCGCGTCCGAGAGCGCGACAATCGACGCCGCCGACGTATAGTTGTTGAGCGTCTTCATGACGTGGCCGGCGCCCAGCCTGCCCATGACGAACACGTACTTGGCCATGGCCTGCAGGACGGGCAGGGCCCGATCGATGGCGTCGCGGCTGTCGGATCCGACCATCAGCGTGGCGTCGCCCGTGTCGGTGTCGTGCAGGTGGGCTTGCGTGACGGGCGAGTCGACGAGATGGAGGCCCAGCTCGGCAAGGTCACGGCCGAGGGATTGTGTGTCGTAGGGCGACGACGAGGACGTGTCGATGATGACTGTTCCTGCGAGGGGGGTAAGCGCGGACGGGCATTCCCTTGACGTTGAGCTGACTTACCTCGCTTCAACGCCTTTGCGATTCCATTCTCGCCTAGCACGACTTCACGGACGACTTTCCCCTGTGGCAGCATCGTGACCAGCACGTCGACGTCCTTGAAGCCCTCGGCCCCTGGTGCCGCGACCGTGGTGTTCTTGTTCTGCTGGGCGAATGTGGTCTCTCGCTCTGGGTCCGCGTCCCGGACGACCAAGTGGAAGCCCGCCCTGGGGATGTTGGATGCCATCGAGGCCCCGGCCTTGCCGAGCCCGATGTAGCCCACTGTTTTGACCGAGTCGCTTAGGGAGCCCATCTTGCATGCAAAATAGTACCGATCCGGATTGTGTTAGTGATGCTGGATTTGATGCTGATTCTGGATTCCCAAGATCGATCGATGCTTAGGAGAGTCTCGTACTGTAGGACGTGGACTTGATCCGCGACGAAAGAGTATTCTTTGCCGTAACCTAGCTGTCTCGTCACCAGAGGCCAGGTCCGTCGCAACGACTCTTTTATCTAGGTACTCGAACCCGCAATTAATTCCGTCCCGGAAGAAAAGAACAGAGCCGAGGGATTGAAGACGAAGACGAAGACGAAGACGACGAAGATCCCCGTTGTCCAACTTCCACAAACGCCATGGACATCGATTCGTCCAGTCCAATTACTTCCCGCCCCGTCAGTCAGTTCCTCAAGGCCCAGTCAGGGCTGTCGTCAACAATGAGGGGTCCTCGCGTCTTGCCTTTGTCCACCTTGTCCTTCCCCATCTTCATCCCTCGCTTGGCCTCGCGGCAACGCGGGACCCCACAAACCATGGTGCGTCTCGTACTCGTACATGTACACAGTACACAGCATTTAGCCACTGGCGGGGCCTTGGAGAACGGGATGAGGTCTTGGTACTGAGCAGTTGGAGCCCGTGCCCGTGCCCTTGCCCAGGCCGAGATTCGAGCCCCGAGGTCGTCGAGGCCGACTTGGACGCCAGTGGATGGAGGAATGGGTGAATCCCGGGCGTGTGTGGACCGCCTAGAACTGGAACTTCCACGGAGCGCAGTGGGAATTCGCCAGTCATACCTCGGACTCGTCCAGAGCACCTCGCGGTCTTGCCCATCGCATCCTGCCCAGCCTGTTCAAGACGACTCGGCAAGCCTGGCCTATTACTGACTGGAGCGGCCATGGGCAGTCCCGTACGACTCCCCAGTAGCCTGCTGTTATTGTCCGTTGGCAGTCGTGTCGTGTCCAAACCATCGACCGAGTGACTGCCCTCCGGGTAGTTAGGTACAGACAATATTTGCCTTTGGCCTTTTGCCTCCGCTGCCGAACGCATGGGAGAATCCCTAGCAATCCCTAGTAATGCCTAACTAATGGACTGGCCCTCCGATATCAACGACCATCTGCCATTATTAAGATAACTAGCCTTGTATCTCCTTGATTGTGGTAGAAAATCTTCAAACCTGTCCCATATGTTACCGACTACTAGGTAGCGATTGTCGATTGTCGAGTCTTGATTCCTAATTCCCATTCGATCCACCACGAGTGGCAAGCAACCAAGCGGCTGAACCATAACTATATCAACCACCTCAACACAAACATGGGGTCCCTGGCGCCGGAATCCCCTTTGAAAGGTACGAAATGACGAGGATACAGAGAGCATACACGATTTTTATCTTCAATTCCCCAAAAAACCCCCTACTTATTTACTTACTTTCTTACTTACTTACTTACCTACTAACTCCTGCAATTCACAGTCATCATAGTCGGCGCCGGGCTAGGAGGCTGCGCGACCGCGCTGGCCATGCACCACGCCGGCTTCGAGGTGGTCATGTTTGAAAAAGTCCGCGAGTTCCAACGACTCGGCGACTCGTTGGGCCTGGGCGAGAATGCGTTCAAATTGTTGGACCGGTGGTCGCCCTTTTTGCGCGACCGGCTGATCGAGATCGGGAACAAATCCGAGATGATGCAGATCCGGCGCTGGCACGACGGCAAGCTGCTCGCTCAGCAGCCCTTGATGGACATGGCCGGGTATATTGGCCACAGGGGCGATTATCACCGGGGGTTTTTGCAGGCCGTGGCGGAGAAGGGGATCCCTTTGCACATGGGCGCCGAGGTCAGTGTGATCATGCGTGCCTGTCACGCCTGTCTGCTTGATTTGACGTTTTCTGCGCAGGTGGTCGACTACGACGACACGGTCCCCTCGGTCACGCTCAAGGACGGGACGCGACATACCGCGGATGTGGTTGTTGCTGTCGACGGTAGGCGAATACGTATTTCCAAAAGGAGCAACCTGCTCACACGTTACATGTGCGCGCAGGCATCAAATCCCGCGCCCGCGAACTGGTGCTGGGGTTCGACGACCAGCCCAAATCATCCGGCTACGCGTGCTTCCGGGCCTTCTTCGACGGGGCCAAACTGCAGGGCAACCCGGTCACGGAGGAGTTTGTGGCGCGCGAGTGCGTCAACATCTGGATCGGCAAGGACATGCACTGCGTGCAAAACACGCTGCGCGGCGGCCGCGAGTTCAACTGGATCATCACGCACAAGGACACGGCCGACGTGCGCGAGTCGTGGTCGCAGCCGGGGGACATGGACGAGGTGCGCCGCCTGGTCGAGACGCTGGACCCGCGCATCGCCACCGCCATCCGCATGACCGACGAGTGTCTGGATTGGAAGATCTGTTACCGCGACCCCATCCCCACCTGGGTCAGCAAGAACCACAAGGTCGTGCTGGTGGGCGATTGTTGTCACCCGCATTTGCCCACCAGTGCCCAGGGCGCCAGCCAGGCCACCGAGAGTGCCGCCGTTTTGGCCCAGTGTTTGCTGTTGGCGGGGAGGGAGAATGTGCCTTTGGCGGTGAGTGAAGACGGCGAGCGAGGGCGGGCGAGTCCCTCACTGCACTGCACTGCTCTACCCTGTCTTGCCTTACCTCCCTATGCTTTGCCCTGCTTTCCTCTAGCGCGACTCGCCCTGTCTTGCCGTACAGTGTACTCGCGACATCTCCATACTGACATGACGATCCACCATCCAGACAAGAGTATACGAAAAGATCCGATTCCCGCGCGTCCGTCGAGCGCAGACCAACGGCGAAGATCTCCGAGATAGATGGCACAGCGCGCTGGACAGGATAGGCGAGGGCGGCGAGATCGACCCGGCGAGTCTGCTGATCAAGGTACGTTTCCATGAATCACTGGGCTGTGACGACACGAGACGAGGGCACTACTGATGATGATTTGCTCGCCCCCCCACCAGAACGCCGTGCTGTACGACTATGACGCCGAGGCCGACACGAGGAAGCGGTGGCCTGAGATGTCGGCGCTGGTGAGCGAGGAGTTGAGGACCGGGAACATCACGCCGTTGTGTTGAGTTAATGCTGCCCCCTGTTTGGAGTTGAAACCTTGGAGACAAGTATGACTGTTCGGAGTTGAACGCTCGGATCCAAGTTATGGACTGATGACGGTGAATGAGGCTGAAGATCGAACACTTGAATGATACCATAACTACAGGTACAGTACAGTATCCATGACTGCAATCACGCATAGCTCTTGGTCTACCAGTATTTACGCCAGTATGCCTTCGGTTGTGCAATGTAGCATTGTAAATTCACCCCGTATTCACCTATCACCCCCTTACAGCTTCGAGCTCAGACTCGGACTCACGCCATCTTTCAGCAGGTTTCTCTTGTCCCCCTCGAGGATCTCCCATCCCTTGCCTCGGAATCGCTTGCCCCAGATGCCGTTCCGGCCTGGCGCCAAGATACTGTTCGGATCAAGCGTGTCCTTGATGCTCTCGTTGAACTTCCTCAGCGCGCCGTCGTTCCAGCTGTACGACTCGGCCACTTGGTCCGCGAAAAGGAGATGGGTCCGGTATTCGCCGTAGCCTTCTTTGGCAGCCGCTGAGATCATCTCGCGCATCAGTCCTGTTGCTCTCCTCTTGGCGTCGGCGTCGGCACGATCGTACACGATGTTGGCGATGTAATGCATTTCTCGACCAGCGACGCACATCGTTGGAAACACGTCAAATCCCCATTTCGCGTGTAGCTTGGTGATGGTGCTGTGGATGAGGTTGGCGTCCTTGCCCTTGGTCGGCGAGATCGGGGAGAAGAACAGATGGGCGGCATTCGGCTGCCAGTTCAGCCAGTCGAGCTCCTTCAGCACAGGCACTCCGCTGCACACCTGGACTCGAGAGTGCAGATAGTGATCCGACGGCACATCTTTCGGCAGGAGGAATCTGCTGCCCTTGATCTTGCCAAACTCGGCCTTGATGACCTTGAGCTGGGCGTCGATCGAAGCCGGGTCGCCGTACTGAGTGCCGTAGAAGACCCAGGACACGTCGCCGCAAGGAAGCTGAGACGCCTTTTCTCGGATGACGTGGCGTGGCATCTGACCTTGACCGCTGTACCAGAACGATCGTGGCTTGCCTGTCACGGCCAGTTCCTGGATGACATGTCTCAGTTGAGGGATGTTACCGAGTATCCTCTTCTGCGCGAGTGGCCGGATGATCTCGACAATCTGCTCGAAATCTTCTTCGCGCGGAAAGGTGATCATGTACGACTGATGTCCGGTCTCCGGCATCAGCCAGAAGCCCATTTTGGTGATGATGCCGTAGTTGCTTTGGCTGAAAATGCCGTCGACATACGGGCCATAAGCTGCCTGGAAGGACTGCCACGTCGGATTGTCCGCGCCATCTTTCCCTGGCATTGCTCCCATGCCGGTGCGGAGCAACTCGCCTGTTGGTAGCACCAGCTCCATGCCACAGTGGTTGGCGAAATGATCACCGTAGGGTGTGTACCTGCTCTGGGTCAGAAGAGCTGCTCTGGCGTGGGAGTCCATTTGACTTACCCAACACCACGATCGATGGCATTCCCGAGAACCGAACCACCACCGAGATCAGGGCAATCGATCCATAGTGGGAGCTTGCGTCTCTGGATTTCCTCATACAACGCAAAGTACGACACGCCCGGCTCAACAATGCATGACGCATTATCAGCATCGAGGTTCAAGATCTTGTTCATTCTTCGGCCAAGATCGATGACGACGGATCCGGGTACGCGAGGTGCTGCGCCTCCATATCCGATGTTACGGCCCATCGAAACCGGGTAAATGGGAATCTTGTGGTTGTTGGCCCATCTTACCACGGTCTGGACTTCCGCTGTGCTGGACGGGTAGACTATGGCACTACATATCAGCTCCTCCTGATCGGCAATGTGATATGCATCATGAGTATTCCTGTATGATCACAGTTAGAACCCGGGGGCACCAGAGGTTGAGCGAACTCACGGGTGTTCCATATACCACCCATCCACAAGCGGCTTGTCGTTCAGCTCGACATTTCCCTGTCCCAGAGCACCTTTGAGCTCGGTCACGGCTTGATCGAAGCTTTCCTTCGACACCCCAGGGGGGAGGGCAGTCCTTCTCCTGGGAAAACTGTCTGGCACCGTTTTTTGAGAGAACAGCCTTGTCTTGGCATCAACAGCTTCTTGGGAGAGCCTTGTCGGCACGCCACTGTACCTTGTCTGGAGGTCGGGGATAGAACCCTGAGTGGACGAGGCTGAGCTCGACATGATTCGAGTACGTGTTGCGATTCGCTGACCGAGTTAATGCAGGCTTCGTTGGAGCGTCCAGGATAAAAGCCCAAACCCCGATAATATTGCTGATCACTGAAAGCTGCTGGGCTGCAACTCAATCCTTGAACCGGCAAGCGTGTTCGCCCCACGATCGGAAAAAGCTGCGGCTTCGTCAAACCGCCAGCTTGAAATATCAGTCAGCCATGCCCACAGGTACACGCCCCGCAACACCCCTCAATTCCCCAATCCAGGAGCTATCGGCGAGGGGCGAGGGAGTCCCCATGTAGAATGTGGAGGATGGGTATTCTCCCCGCCGCTTACTGTAGGCGCGACATAAACGCTTGTCCAAATCGAAGGGAACACATCGCGATCGAGGCATGCCGTGCAGCCACTTGGGCTGACCGTCGCTTGGCCGCGGTGACAATTCCGACAATCTGGATGCAAACGTGAACTGCCGTGGCTCACGCTCTCAGCCTCGGGCCATCATCCGAACCGACTCAAAGGTCGGCTCTTCGGGTTTCAGCTGTGTAGGGAGTATTCCCGAGAACATCGAGGGCGCTGGCGAGGCTTGGGTCGACCTCCCCGGGCATTCGGGGTGTGTCGAAGCATTGGCCTAGCACATGCCGCAAAGCCAGCATCACGACGGACTCGAATACCGTGGTCTGCTGGCCACGACATACGCAGCTTCACGCGACTGCTCGACCGTACAGCAAGAAGTGTTGGATCTGGAGGCCATCTCAGCCTGGTGCCACAATATCTTGAGGCGTCTGTTTGCTCACACACCGGGTTGGGCGAGTGTTCTCTCGGGTGCTTGTGACTTGGATCCGTAGTTATGAGTGCATTGGAAAATGCGACCGGCAAGTAGAAATTACTCGGACAAAGTAGGTTGAGTATCGGGTTCTGCATCACCTTGAGAGGATCTTCCTCAGGTGCGCACCTTGACAGTCACTATCCGCTTCCAAAGGCATAAAGTCCAGGCTAGGACTGGATCCTCTTCCGCCTCGACTATTCAGACTGGATTCACTCAACCCGTCGTCGTCGACGCCCATCTCTCTCTTCATGACCACGTGCGGTGTGTGCGGAGGAGCCACGCCATTCGTCGGACTAGCCGTGCTGGAGGCCCGCTTCTTGTATTGGAATTTCAGCACGATCATCCTCACGAGTGTCCAGTAACTGTCGGCCGAAGTCTCGAAGCCCATGTTACTCATGGTGGCACGGGGCAACTTCGCACGGACGTCGTCCCAGAGTGTTTTCCAGTTTGTCAAGGCCGTCTTCATTGGCTCGTACACAAGATGCGGTTCGGGGCTCAATGTCGTTGCTGAGATCCGATGAAGCGGGTTTCCGAAGAGGTGTTGCCAGCAGTGCGTGAAAAGAACTGCACGATTGTCAGCGCCCCAGAGGTTCGATCCGGGCGGAACCTCAACACACGTACCATGAATGAGATAAAGCATATCCCAGCTGCACAGGGTCTCGTGTTGATATGCTGCCCTCAGCTCGTTCGGCTGGACAAACAGTTTCTGAAAAGCATCGATCAATTTCATGCGTGAGCGAGGGAATGCGGATCGCTGCAGCATTTCCGCATAACTCGCAAGCTGGAAGGCTTCAGCATGGCAAGGCAGCTGCAGATCCACTTCGCAATAGTTGACGCGTGGAGGGACATTGTTGAAAATACCCATTGCCGAGTCGAGCGCAAGCATGACATTCATGGTCCTGTGATCGGTCAGTTGAGGAAGTGTATCACGCAGAAGCTACCCACCGGATGCGACATTCATTCCGTACCCAGCGCTGAAAGGCCATTTCGTCGGTCATTGCAAAGACACTTGCATGTTGCGCGGTGGGAAGGCCGAAATACCGAGCCATCTGCCATTGCTTTAGGGTGAAACGTCGAGGGAAAGCGTGTCACTTACGTTGAGAATCGTACAAAACCGTTGTCGTCTAGCTCTCCTGCGGCCTGATAGGTTTCCAGAGAAGTACTGGACGACCACACATAGGTAGGCTCCCTGAAACGTCTGAAAGTGATAGTTTAGAGCTTCCTCGTCCGCCATCTGCAGGTATCCATTCGTGGTAAAGTAGTCGTCCTTCACAGCTGGGAGCGAAAAGACGTATTGCTCGATCACATCCAACAGGCTCTTCATCCAAGCAACCTTCCCCGGGTCCGAATACATGGCGCCCAGTGCGACGCATCCCAGCACGAGAGCCTCGGGTGCAAGTGTTGGTTGAAATGTCGGTTGGTGAATTATCGGACAATGCCTGTAGTAGTTGTTGAAGAAGGAATTCAGGCAGCTGTCTATTTCCACATGCGTGAGGAGCTCGATGTTGGGAGCTAAGAGTGGAAGTTGTGGGTTCTCCGGGTCTTCGATCGCAATCTTGCTCACTGTGTTCAGCAGGATTTGCCGGATCTCGTAGGCTCGAGTCTCGAGCATCATGGCGGAAGGCGGCACAATTACAGGTCCACTGGTGATCTGCGACATGTCATGGTGTAGCGGATACGAGCCGAACGTCAAGCTTTCGAATCCTCCAAAGAAAGAATCGAAACTGACCCCTTCAAAGTCCGGCAGAGCTGCACCGGCAAAGACATCATTCTGTTCGTAGTCCTCACTCCAGTGTGAAGCTTCAGAGGAATCTTCGGCTTCATTGAGGGTGGGATCGTCCTCGTCGACCCCATTGCCGGAAGGTGAGTCGCGAATGGGGAATCGAGGAGCCAAATCGCCATCTGGGGCATTGAGCAGGTGATGTATTGGGATTGCATCACGGCTTTTAGGCCTCGGTCCTTCTTGTGCCGTTGACGGACTGGAAGCTGCCCAGAGTTAGCCAGATTATGGAGGTGACAGCGAAGGCGACTTACATCGAACGCAGTCCTTTCCTAGCTCCTGACAGCGGGTACAGGGCGTTTCTTGGTCACATTTCGTCCTCAGCTTGACGCATGACAAGCACGACGATCGCTTGCGACCTTTACTCTGGCCCTCGGGGACAGGCGCGCCTCCGCGTTCCTTGCACCGAAACTGGTGCGCTCGCAGGACGTCACTTGCATCAAAGTCAGCAGCCGCTTGCACTCCACGTACGGGCCTCAGTACCTTCGCTTGAAGCACTTGGAGCAGAAATTGCAGGTGAAGGGTCTTTGTGCGACATCTGTAGCCAGAGTTAGATGGTGGGAGAGCTGAGGAAAGAACATAGGACCACTGACGTTGCTGTTGATGGCGAAGCATATGCGCCTTTCGCACGAACGACTTGGGACATGATGGGCAGTGAAACCGGTCCTGCCATTGATGGGCTTGGTCCATCACGGTGACTGTCATTGGCAAGTCGTAGGCAATGTACCATCAGTCACAGTGAGCTGATGAACCAATAACACCCTGATCGCTACGAATGTCGTTGTATCCAGGCCTGCTGCGGACATGAACATGATATGGCTTGTAGTTGTGTCATGACAGGGGAGCTAGGTTTCATCGCTAGGATATTCCGGGTCCATGTCAGGTGGAAGCCATCGTCGTCTGAACGTGCGTGGTCTGGAGATCTGGGACCCGGCAGGACAAGGTTCGCAAAACTGTCCAATGCAGCGTTTGGATCTGTCTCGGTGATTTCCGTCAGCGTAATAGGCGGTGCTCGGACCTGAACATATGCAGCAGCTTCTCGCACGCTTAGACGCGCACAACACCTCAAAGGCTCTGGAGAGTTCAAGAGCCGTGGGGCGGGTATGAGGTGAAGAAGAAGATGGCCAGAGTGCTCCACCAGACATTGACACGGTCTGCCAACGAATAGCGGACTAACCGGTCCTGTCAGTGGTGACTTCAGCGAGGCCTTGGGAGCGGGGTGAACACGAGTTCCAGAGCGCGGGTGTGGATGAAGAGGACGAGGTCGACGAGGAGGAACGAGCGTGCGACCCGTCCGCCTGCGGTGGATTCTTTGCAAGCCGAATATTTGTGTGGGCGCAGGCGCCACCAGTGGCCATTGGAGCCTTCGCTGGGGCCATGCACCGCTAGGCTGCTTGAAGCCTAAACCGCCCGTAACTTGCTCCCTGGGTGGCGTGGCTGGTGCGAGGGTCGCTTAACTAACTTAACTAAACCCAGACTTGGCCGTGGTGGCCGTGCTTCCAGCAGCCGGCTTGATCTGCCTCCCATCCGCCTTGGCAGTCTCCCTCCGCATCGTTGGCTCACACGAACTGTCACAGTCTGGATGAGGCGAAACTCAAAAGCTTCGAATAAATTCGCATTCAGCTGGACGGCTGTCTACCGGGTGTGATAGGCCTCCCGCTGCCTGCTAAGCCGTGGATTGCCACAGGTTTGTCATAAACGTACCTCGTAAAAATTGCGCATGGAAGGCTGCCACGCCTCCGAGTACCCAGATCATGGCCCACCGATCCGAGAATTCACCCAAGGCCTTATTTAGGGCGATCTGCCAATCTCCGCGGCGGCCCTGGTCGCGGCTGAATGTAACAAAAAGGCCACGGACAACGGAGGATCTCGATTCTCGAGCACGGCGCACTGGGCCGTGCGCCTGGAAGTGGTGGAACATCCAGGGCAGATCAGCAGAGCAGTCGCTTGGCGCTCATAGCTTGACGACGCCAGTGACCTCTCTCTCCAGGCGCTGCGTGTTCACCATCGCCGGGACGATCTCCGAGATCGTGGTTGCTCCGGCCAGAGCCATATTTGTCTCAAGCTCTTTCCGCAGAATCTGCACCATCCGCCTGAAGCCGGCCTCCCCATAGTTACCTGTCAGGCTATACAGAAACGGCCTCCCAAGCCCCACGGCACGAGCACCCAAAGCGAGAGCTTTCAACACATCGGTCCCCCTGCGGAATCCGCCATCCACAAAGATCTCCATTCGGCTATTGATCAGATGTGGCGCATACCGTCGGATCTCGAGGAGCGTTACCATTGGTGCTTGCGCCCTGGGTGCTACGAGTTAGAGCATCCTCTCAAGGAAAGTCCATAAACACGTACGTATCTTGGGACCGACCGCCATGGTTCGACAGGACAATCCCTTCGACGCCATGGTTATATGCCAGTACAGCATCCTCCACACTTTGAATTCCTTTGAGCACAAGAGGCAGTTTCGTTATTCGCCGAATCCAGGCAACGTGATCCCAGGTCAAGTGCGGGTTGAGAAGACCTGAGGAGGCGACTTTGGCCACACCAGGCTTGACTTCCTCTACAACAGCGACCCCGTCATCTTCATTCATGCTAGCTTTTAGTCGATCATCTTGCTCACGGTTTCCCAGAACCGGTGAGTCCACGGTCAACCATATTGCGCTGACTCCAAGTCTGTCAACTCGGCGTATCAGAGCCTCCGCCTTCTGGGAATCTTTGTGGAGGTACAGCTGAAAGAAGACAGGCTGGTTCTTGCTAACTCGGGCGTCGATGATACTTTCTATCGACATACTGGGGCTCGTGGGTATAACCTGTATTATGCCTTCCTTTCCTGCACCACGAGCGAAGGCGCATTCTGCATCCGGATGTGCATACTTGGCCAGGCCCGATGGTGAGACATAGACTGGTAATGCCGTGGTCTTGCCCAGGATGCTGGTCCTGGTGTCCACCGAGCCTATATCACGAAGGACGCGCGCGCGTAACATCAGCTTGCGGAACGCCCGAGCTGCGTCGTTCTTGCTGTACTCATCGTCCGCCGCGGAAGAGTAGTACGCCCATCCCGTTGGACTGAGATATTGCTTTGCAACAACTTCGAAGTCATTGACGCTGATCATAGCACTCAACGGCGGAAATCGGGCTTTTCCTCTCTGTTGCCGCTTATCTCCCACGATTGGCTTCGACGTCGGGATGGTACTGGTGTCCACCGTACCCCGAAACGCTGTAGATGGCAGGGTCTCTGCTATCAGATCTGGGCTGTGCACGCTCTCGTATTCAGCTGTCGCATCTTGTCCTGCGCTTTTCAGAATGATCTGTGCTCCGCCTGGATGTTCGTCGAGAAACTCTGCAGGATTCATGTTGAGAACGTGATCAGGATCGCAACAGTAGAGATACGTACCTGTGACATCGTAGACCTTGCCATGGATAGCGATCCAGCACGACTTTCTGTGGTTGTGATTCGCAACCTCAGCGCCGTCCAACCTGGTCATTCTCGAGACGGACTGTATGCAGCCACGTCATCCTTCATGATTCCTGGATCTCGGACGGTGGTATTTTAGGACTCTACCTACCGTTAGCTTAGCCCGGGACCGAGCACTGCGGGAGGGCCGTGGGATGGTGTCTATCGGATAACCTTACCCCGACGATGCGGAGCATTCTGGACAGACACGGCCGCCCCCACGAACCCAAGGACCTAGTGGGAGCCGCCGTTCTCTCCTATCACAAAAACTGAAGCTCGAGTTCGTTGTCTTCTGAAGGGCGCCAGTCTCGGCACTGCTCTTAAGCGAATTCTGCAGCATCGGCAAAATTATACCTCAGTCAGAGCCAGCGCTGTCGTGAAGCTCCTCGAGACCTGCGCACAAGTGATGGTCACAAGGTGAAGCACTGAAGGCGAGAATCAAGACTTCTTGATCGCGACAAGATGGCGCAAGACATCAATGTGATGCTGTATGGGCTTGGCGCGTAAGGCTCCATGGTGGACGTCTGGCGTGGACATGCTGACTGAGTTTCACAAGTATCGGCTCCTTCTATGCCTTTATCTTGGAGCGTACCAAGCGCGTCCGCCTGACCGTCGTTGCTCGTTCCAACTATGAGGCGGTTAAGAAAGACGTTAGTAGTGTTACGTCAGCCTTGGGAAGAACCCTGTCTGATAAGATCTCTCTGGCAGGGCCTACATATCAGAAGTGCGAACCACGGTGACCATGTCGTGCATCCAGCGAAAGGTGTGGCTCGTCTTGCTCTCCATTTGGAGCCATGCTGACCGTCAACCCGCAGTGGTGAGGACGCCGGCAGAGGCGGGAGAAACTTACGATTACGTTGTCTGCGCCCACAAGGCGATCAACCAAGAGTCCACTGCAAAGCAACTGGCTCCGGCTGTCGATGAGAACAAAACATGCATCGTGATCATCCAGAATGGAGTCGGCAACGAAGACGCGTTCCGAGAAACATTTCCCAAGTGCACCATCCTAAGCTGTGTGGTATGTCAAGGCCATGACGGGCTCTTGTCGTTGGCTAATGCGGTGGCAGACGTGGGTTGGGGCCAGTCAAGACATCCCCGGTGTTGTGAACCACTGGAAGTCTGAGAACACGGAGATAGGCCTCTTTCCCAACCCGAGCCTCGATGCTGCTTCCGAACAAACCAGGCTAAATGAGTTTACATCGCTATTGCGTGAAGGCAAAACACCATTCTCGGTGGAAGACAATGTTCAGATCCAGCGGTGGTCCAAGGTCATCTGGAATTGTGCATGGAACTCTCTTACAACACTCACCATGCTCGACACCCATTCATGGCTCAAGTCGTCGCCTGATTCAATGCCCATGACGCGGAGGTTGATGCAGGAGGTCATCGATGTGGCAAGGGCGTGCGACGTCCCTGTCAAAGACGGGTTGATTGATGAACTTCTCGAGAAGATCCTGGCGATGCAGCCCATCGGGTCCAGCATGCAGACTGACTGTAAGATGGGACGCCCAATGGAAGTTGAAATCATCCTGGGAACTCCAGTCCGAAAGGGAAGGGAGCTCCATGTGGCGACCCCAATCCTGGAGGTGCTGTATACCTTGCTGTCGGCCATCAATACCCGTATGAAGCCAGTTTAAACAATAAAGAGTTAGAGCTCATAGACCATCCGAACGGTATTGCTTCTGCAGGTCGGTGTTGGTAGGACCCAGAGCCTCGAAAACGGAGACAACGCGCACCAACGCGTCGCCTTGTCACGTGTTGTCACGGCGGGCAACGCGCTCGCACATCCGCCGGAAAATCTTTTGTCCGAGCCGGAAGTCTCCAATCTTGATCGCTTCTCAGATTCACTTATTTCCTCGCTTTCGTGCTATCGCTCTCACGATTTCAAATCCTCGTACTCGTAGGTATGACCTGAGCCCGCCCGTCTCGGTCCTCAGTGGATCGCCATTGGTCCACCCCCGACAGATCTGCAAGACAGATCCTTCGTCATGCGCCTGCGCTGATTTTCCTGCCTTGGTCTGCGCTAATGCTCTCGCCTCAGAGCACCTCTCCCCTCCAAAACCGGCACTTGAGCAGCTGGCACAACCTTCCAACGGCGCATATCTCCCGTTCCATCCTTCTGGCGCGACAGCAACCCTCTTCGGGATGGTACAGCCTCGAAGCCATCTCCCCTCCCCACCAGATGCACGCTGTGGTTGATGACTCCGTGGCAGCTTCATCGGCCTGCCGTGTCTTGGTGGGGGTTCTCTACCCCCATCTGAACAGCATGGTTTTCACTGTCTCTCCTTTGCCTGGACCACAAGTGAGCGCTTTGAGGTAGCGTTGTTCTCTCGGAGTACTGTACCCCGATACCCCGTGGGGTGAGCGACTAGCACCTTCTCTGGACGTTTCATCACGACGATCATTTTGCCTTTAACCTCGTGAGCTTAACACGGCTTGATGGCTCCGGGACTTGGCAGCTCAATGCTCGAATGATCTCCATCGTCGATAAAAGGCAGTGCAGGCACTGTCAGCCCCATGTCCCACGGTAGTTTCTTCGCTTCTTTTACACTGAGTTCGTCTCCTCCCGTCCTTGTCGGTTGACATGGCTACAAAGGTCACCATGGAGGGCATTGGGAAGCCCAGCCTGACATCGATGAGGGTGGAGGACATTGGCGCCGAGGCAGTGCGCATCGACCATTCTCACATGATCATGCCCGAAGCACTGCTCGGCCTGTCTGAGTCAGAACTCACCTCCCTCGGTCGCAAGGCCACCCTCAAACTGGATTGTATCATCATGCCATGCGTGGTGATTATGTATATCCTCAACTACCTCGACCGACAGGTCAGTTTTCAGGGTGAGCGATATCAATAAATGTCGTATCTTACGTCCTGTGCAGAACATTGCGTCCGCCAAGCTCGCCGACATCGACAATGACCTTGGACTCTCCGCTGTGCAATACCAAACTTCTGTTTCAATCCTTTTCTGCGGCTATATTCTGTTCCAGGTGCCATCCAACATCATTGTCGGCAAGATCCAATATCCTGCGGTCTACATCTGCGCGGCGATGGCTGTCTGGGGTGTAGTGTCAGCGCTGATGGCCGCCGTGCAGAACTTCAGTGGTTTGCTGGCATGCAGATTCTTCCTGGGCATCGTCGAGGCGGCCTTTTTTCCAGGTACAGTCCAGCGAGTTCAATGTTCATTTACCTGGTTGGGATGCTGATGCCGCCTCGCCAGGCGCTCTTTATTTTCTCTCACTATTTTACAACCGCAAACAGTTTGCATTCAGGACCGCGATACTCTATTCCGGCTCGCAACTCGGCAACGCCTTTGGTGGCCTCTTCGCGATCGCGATTTTGAACTTGGATGACCACGATGGTATTGAAGGGTGGCGCTGGGTAAGTGTGATCGATCGGCTTCGTAGCGAACTCCAGCTAAGATACAAGCAGCTCTTTCTCATCGAAGGCGTCATGACCATTGGCATCGCTATCATTTTCGCCTTCATCCTGCCCAACTCGATTCGAAAGCTCCGTGGCTTCTCGCCACAGGAGAGGGAGTGGGTTCTCTGGAACTTCGAGTCCGATCTGGGCCAACAGGACAACGCCAAGGAAGTCAGCGGGCGACGAGGCCTTCTGTTGGCGCTCCAGGACTGGAAGATGTGGTCATTCATGGCCTTGTTGACGTCGATCTACATCTCCGCCGCCGTGACCAACTTTTTTCCCTCTGTCGTCGGCGGCCTCGGCTACTCGAGGAACAAGACATACGGACTGACGGCCCCTCCGTTCATCCTGTGCGTCATCTGTATGTTGGCCAACGGCTTCCATTCCGACAAGCAGCAGGAGCGCTACCTGCACATCGTCTGTCCCCTCGCGATCACCATGGTCGCCAACATCATCGCCGTGTCCACCCTCAGCATCGCTGCACGATGTAAGTTGCAATGGCTGCGCCGGGACCAGAAATGACAGACATGAAACTAACTGGACATTCCAGACGTGGCCATGATGTTGATGCCTGCGTCCTTCTACGCGGCTTCCATCGTCGTGCTCTCCTGGATCACAGGCAGCCTGAACCAGCCCGCGGTGAAACGCGCCGCCGCGATCGCCACGATCAACGCCGTGGCAAACACGCCGAATATCTGGACTTCATACCTGTACCGCTCTCCACCGCGCTACATTGTCGCATTCATCGTCAATCTCGCCTTCGCGGGCGTAGCTATCGTCGCCGCAACAGTTATACGCTTTTACCTCCAACGAGAGAATGCCAGGATGGACCGCGGCGAAGACGTTGGGAAGAGCGGTCCCACTGAGGCTCAAAGGATGGCTGGGTTCAGATACATTCTGTAATGGCTACACATGAGGGATTTGACGGGTGACTCCCTGGTGGTGAGGCTGGAGGCTATTGAGAACGCAATCGGCGGGTGTGTGGGCGGCTATACAGGGCAACCGTTATCTCAATAAAGAGCTATCAGGAGAATGATGAGGATTCTTATGTACGTCTCATTGGAAACACCAACTCACACCTATGAGGTCTTCGTTGCCATGGCTCCTCCGCTCCTACTCGAAGTAATGCATTTCCGCACTCCATCTACGAAGCCGGTGTGCGGCGTGTCCCATAAGGCTCAACATCGGTGCTATCTACAGACGAAACTACAAAGTCCACGTTGGGGTCTCGAGGCACATGAAACAGTGTGCAACCCCTAATTTCCCAAGGTCCCTCGAACTTAATTCTGTTTGTAATGGTAATGACTCGTCCAGTCAGCCACCCTTGGTGAATACCTAAGATGATGCTATCAAACATGCATCATGCGATCGCCAAAGAGGAGTTCGGGACATTAATGTCAGTCGCCCGTCCCCGCTTCCCCGCCCCGAGAACCACCCCCCACCCCCACCCCCCCTATTTTCCCCAGTTGGACGACACGGTACGAAATAGAATCCCACGAGGAGAACCGGTTTGGGGTTTGCCAGCTTGCCAGCATGTCATACACATGTACTGGGCACAAGAGTGAGGATTCTACTTTTTGGGGCAATTCGGTCTTCGGTCCGTGTTCGCCGACTTGGCTTCCACCACGACCATCACCTCCACCATGCCGGGGGACCAATGGACGGACAGATCGATTAGGGTGCACTGAGATGTAACGGCCTGACGTACTGTACGACGTGCTGCAAAGCCCAAACTCGTCGTCCACATACAATTTACGCCAGTTTACGCATACACTGTACAACTGTCCAAGAACGGGATTGCTAATTAAGACAAGCAGAGTACACGGCGAATACTAGGACAGGTACGGAGTAGGCTTCCGAGATCGAATCACGGTCTTCACGGATTGTGCCCGGGAGAAGGACAGGACCACTGCAGCGCTTGGGTGTTGGGTAATTAGTACTGGGAACAGAAACCACCTTTCGTTCGACACCACGAAATCAGAGAAGATCTGGGATCCGAGGCCCCTGAGAGCCAAAGACTCACCCACTCGGAGAGGATACCAGAGGAGACAAAAAGACCAGGTCTCGAAACGTCAAAGGACCTTGCACGTTCTCTTGTACGACGGTGTCCATCTACGAGTTCTACTCCGGCGGCGTCGTTGGCCATCCTTGAAAGCACCCCCGAGCAGACCGTGCCCACGCCACAAGCATCGCCATCGCCATCACCATTGCCGTCATGACTCTCTCCTTCCCCAGTATGTTCTCCCTCGAGGGCAGAACAGCCGTGATAACAGGTAGGCAAGACTGCACCAGATCAAGACCGTCACACGCCAGCATTGGAGCATGCCACAGCCACCATGCTGACTCCGATCCCCGGCCGGATAGGAGCAACGAGGGGCATCGGCGCCGCCATGGCCGTGGCACTGGCCGAAGCGGGCGCGAACATCATCCTCATCCAAGTAAGTACATGGTACATGATTAGGCAGTCAAAACAGACACATACATACACACTCCCACACACACCTATCCATTCGCCAAGAGGAATCCTGACAGGCTGACACCACCACCACCAGAGACACGGCAGCAACACGACGACCAAAGCCGCCATCGAGGCCCTATCCCCACCGCGCACCGCAACCATCTACACGGCAGACATGGCGTCTCAACGCGACGTCTCAGGCCTGGCCAGCAAGATCCTGGGTGACGGCCACGACGTCTCCATCCTAGTCACCAGCGCGGGCATCCAACGACGACACCCGGCACACGCTTTTCCCCTGTCGGACTGGGACGACGTGCTCCAGGTGAACCTCACGTCGGTGTTCACTCTGTGCCGCGACTTTGGGGCGTACATGCTCGACCGCGCCGGTCCGCACCGCGGGTCCATCATCAATATCGCCAGCCTGGTCAGTTTCTCGGGCGGGTTGACGGTCCCGGCGTACGCGAGCGCCAAGGGCGGCATCGCCCAGCTGACCAAGGCGCTGAGCAACGAGTGGGCTGGCAAGGGCGTCAACGTGAATGCGATCGCGCCGGGGTATATTGCCACGGAGATGAACGAGGCGTTGATCAACAATGAGACGCGCGCCAGGCAGATCCTCGAACGCATCCCCATGGGCAGGTGGGGTACTCCTGACGATTTCAAGGGGCCTGTCGTGTTTTTGGCGAGTCCGGCTAGTGGCTATGTTAGTGGGGAGGTGTTTGTCGTGTGAGTTTGCTGCCGTTCATTCAGCCTGGTGGTGTTGCTAACTTAATTGACTAGGGACGGAGGGTGGATGGGCAGGTAGGGGGATAGACAGGCTGACAGGTATAGTACATCCAGCACGGCATGGTGAACGGTACGGCGAGGTACCTTGGGAATCAGCGCGACCAGTATATCGTTCTGACAGGCGCACCAATGCGTACATAACAACTTCCTTGTCGACATACATATCTATGTTGGCGGACTGGAGCCGTTCACTCGCGGTGGCTGTGAACTACCACAGACGATTGCTGGGAGGGACGTGTAGGGAAACTGGCACTGTTCTGGTTCTGGTTCTGGTTCTGGTACTAGTACGATGTAATCATCGCTGGGAGACTACGCCCCTACCTAGAACCGGCTCATTCTTCGGTGAGGTAGTTCACGTACAAGGCCAGCAACTGCGGCAGTTTGCGTTCATCGCTACGGAGTGATCAACGGGCACGGGCGTTGACAACAACTGCAGTCGATGGTGTTTTCTCCTCGTCACCACCAACTGCAACGGATAAATAGTCGATAGGGCCAGCATATCGGCCAGCCACGAAATCCACAGCCGTGACAGTATCCAATTTCAGCCACTCACCACTCCCGAATACTCCCATCCGGCCCATAAAACTCCTTACATTGCCAATGTCTGGCCGTCTTTGATATCCTCCTCACCGCCTCCTCATCGATCTCGATACCCAGGCCGGGCCCCCTCAACGCATCGACATATCCATCCTTGATATCAAACACGGACCGGTCCACCAGGTAGGTGTTGAGATCCTCCTCGCCGGCCTCAACATTATAGTGCATGCCGAGCGACATCTCCTGGATGACAAAGTTGGGCGTACACAGGGCGACCTGCATGCTGGCCGCCAACGCGATGGGCCCCAACGGACAATGCGGTGCGATGGCCACGTCGTACGCCTCGGCCATGGTGGCGATGCGGCGCGTCTCGGAGATGCCGCCCGCGTGCGCGATGTCCGGCTGGAGGATGTCGATGCTGGCGTCCTGCAGGAACCGCTTGACGTCCCAGCGCGTGTAGAGGCGTTCGCCCAGCGCGATGGGGATGGTCGTGTGCTGCGCCAGTTGGGCCAGGGCCTCCGGGTGTTCGACGAGCAGGGGCTCCTCAATGAACAGCGGGCGGTAGGGCTCGAGGGCCTTGGCCAGCTGTTTGGCCATGGGCTTGTGCAGGCGGCCGTGGAAGTCCAGCCCGGCGTCCAGACCCAGGGACTTGACGAGCTTGAGGCGCTCGACGCACGAGTCCAGCACCGAGGGGGAATCGAGCCAGTTGACGTCTTCGGTGGCGTTCATCTTGATGCATTTCAGCCCCTGCGCTATGCGTGCTTTGGCGGCGACTTCGATATCGTGTGGGCGATCCCCGCCGCACCAAGCGTACACGAACACTTTATTGCGGACCTTGCCCCCGAGGAGCTGGTATACGGGCACGTTCAGCCGTCGACCTGGGGTGGGTGGTTGTTAGGATGTCACCACAGACCAGTATTGGGAGGGTACTCAGCACGTGACAATGGTTGTATGAGATTGTGTCACGTGATGTACGACCCCCAAACAATGCACGTGACCACGGTTTGCCAGTGCACAGGACTGATTCTCTTGCTCACCTTTCAAATCCCAAAGCGCAATATCAATGCCCGACAAGGCAGACATGAAGACCGGCCCTCCGCGATAGAAGCCCAACCGCCATATCAACTGCCAGATATGTTCAATGTCACTGCATCGCAACGGCCGTGTCAGCGTCAGTGTCATTCCCTCTCTCTCTGTCCCCCGGAGTTCTGCAGTCTGCCACCTCGAGGACCACGGGGGGAGGGGGGTTATCAGGGTGCGCGAGTACAGCGTACACGACGTGTAACATACTCGGCTTCCAGACCGACGACGCGCTCGATGATCTCGTCCAACGCGCCCTCGACGGCCCTGGTGTGGCCTTCCAGAGTAGCTTCTCCCCAGCCCACGTTCCCTCTGTCGTCGCAGATCTTGACGAACAGCCATCGAGGCTTCACGCGGAAATACTCTACGCTCTTGATCTTGGCGAACGACTGGCCCGGTAGTTCCGGGTCATGGCCGTCAGTCGCGCCTTTTAATGAGTCGAGCTCGCTCGTAGCCATTGGGTTGGTTTGGTGGGTTCAGGATAACTGTGATTCTGGAATGTGATGTGATTACTGTATTTTTGACGATGTCGAGCCGCTCGGTCGGGGAATGGGACTCAAAAAGCGGAGAGGCCAGGTCAATATTCAAATGCGCGGGGACGGCCACATAAAGGTTCAGGCAGCTGTACGGAGTAATTTGTTGTGTAATGCTCGACAGTACAGGGCTTCACCCTGGCCGTTGAATGCCTGGATCTCTACCACAGTATCTATGGGTACCGTGTGGCATGTCACATGGGAAAGTCGTGTACGGTGACGCTGTGGGATGGATGACGGAGGTGAGTCTCAAGCCGTCGCGTCGGCAACCTCGTCGCCCGCATTTCGCCCGGAGCGAGCATACGGAAATTGTCCCCCACAGAATGAATGCCACAGCGGAGGTCGTGGGGGTACTGTACTCGTATCCCCCAGAGCAGGTCCAGTACTCGAACTTACCCAGTTGGCGTCGTGCCATCACCACCCCAGACCACCAGTGGGTGCCAGGCCGATGGTTGCCCTTCTCCGCTTGTGCCTGTGTTTTCCCACGATATCATCCTTGTCATGTACCCCGTACAGTACCACGAGTACCTACGACGTAAGTTTTCCCACCGCGAGGTAACGAAAGTAATTATTCGCTGCCTCCCGATGTAATGAATGGTTTGCTTTGCATACTTCTCTCAATTTCAAGTACAAGTCGCCCTCCAGAATTGAATATTGGCAATACGCAATGTGGGGGGTCTCTGAATATTGCAACACACAGGTGAGTATTGGACTCAGGGGGAGAGTTCATCCCTAGACTAATAATCGACTTCATGACTGTGCACTGGCCATGTTCGAACGCACAAGATCATGGCGGCAGCGGGGATTGATTGCGACAACGACATAATGACCATGGATTGCTCCTGTTGACAACGAGTTGCGCCGTCCACAAATACGATGCATTGCAAAGCGTCCCGCGGATCTCCTGCAACAACGAAATGACGACCATGGATCCTCTTATACGAATGTCATTGTCGACTCGCTCCGCGCAGCAACATGACTGCATTGCGAAGGAGTCCCGCGGCCTCATGCAGCAGCTCCCACCGCGAATTTCGAAAAGCCGTCTCCAAGATCGTCAACACGCCGACGACGTTGTTTCGGCCGTCCTTGATCGTCTCCAGCTGCTGCGGGGTCTTCACTGCACCCACCGTCTGCAGGAACGCAAGGGCGTCTTTCACCACCATTTCGACTTGGAACTCGCTGCCATCGTGCGCCATGTTGAGCATCGACTGGTTGGAACCGTGGGAGAGTGTCGAGGCCGCTCCCGGTGAGGTCTCGGGTTGCAGCAGGCTCGGAAACGGTCTGAGAACGCCGTCCAAGGCGAATCCGTACGACCAGACAACCAGCGCGGCGAAGTAGAGCGCCCACGGCCGCATCATCAGGTGATCCTCGCGGGCATTGTACGTCTTCCTGGATCCACCCTTGGCAGGTAGGATGACCGACCTCAGGAGCTGCAGAGCATGGAAGACCCCGACCCTCGCACTGGGCCCTTTGGCCCAGTCGAAGAGCTTACATTTGACCCTCTCATAGTCGGCGTTGGTCACGACTTTGCCAAACAGCCTCTTGATGCCCGCGAAAATCTGGCAGTCAAAGATGTCCGCGTTCATGGCGATCCGGCTGAGATGGTACAGGCAGTCGGCCGTGTGTGCCATGTCTTGGTCGCCCGAGACACCTTCGCTTTTCTGCCAGGGGAGCGCCGCCCGCCGCATATATTCGAGATTCTCGTCAAAATCCTTCTTCCAGAAATCAAATGCCTTGGTGAGCGGAGTCCTCCATCCATCCGGCACACCCATCGTCTGCGAAACGCCGAGGCTGGAAACCTGAAGATCCCGCTGGTTCATATGCCACGAGACAGATAGCAGGCCTGCCATGAGGATCATCCTCCCAAAGTTGTTGGTGCGGACTTTGCGACCGGTCAGGATCTTCTTCAGCCCGTCCAGGAACGTTGTCGGCTTGATGCCGTTGGCGTGCAGACTGGCTTCCACGCGTCCAACTTCGGCAGCAGATGTGGCTGACCACAGAGCGTCATCGCAGGGCAGTGGAAGGCGGATCTCGTGCACAACCATCATCGCTGCATGCCCGAACATGGTCGCGTGAACGGCGTCAAGGTAGAAAGCCGCATACGCTGCACGTCGTGTCGCTTCTGCTATGATCCACCTCCCCCACCATTCTTCCGGAGTCGCTGGCGCCCGCGAGGAATCTTGGGTCGCAGTCTCGACGAGCGCGGTCCCGCGTCGCATCAGATTTATCGTGGTGGCGTAGTGGATATGCGCGCGCTCATGCAGCATCCTGGTCGCGTTCATCTTCTCGTAGATCTCGAGTAGGATCAGCGTTTGGAAGACCCAGAGCTTCGCCGGAGGGTGGAAATCGCCATGCATGAAGACCTGCCACCGTAAGTGCCAAGCGATAAAGGTGGCGAGTCGAGCGGCCGCATCTGTCACGGCGCGACCATGGGCCTTGTTCAGAAATGCAGCACCAATGGCCATGACTGCGAGTAGCAGATACTCGTGGATTTCGTCCGCGGAAAAAGTAGGCTGGTGGAGGATGGGCATCTGGGCATGGAAATGGTACCAGTAAGAGCCGATATAATGCTGCATGGACCTGATACTAAGGACGTGCTCCTCTGAATCCAAGTTACCCTGGAATATCTGCTCCCTGAGCTGCCGCACGAATGGATTGTCACCTTCACTGAAGCGGTATTCCATCAATGAAATCAGGGACTTCCGTTTCGCGTGCGACAGTAATGTGCTGTCACTGGAAAGCTCAGGTAGTTTGGTCACCGCTTCAGACTGTTGATGTCCCATGGAGTAGGCTGTATCCAATCCTGGCTCGGCGAAGTAGTTGGAGTAAACTGCATTGCCAAACGTGTCGGAACCAGCGGAAAATCCCAGGCCTCCTTGGGTGCCTATTGAGAATGGAGCGGAGTGGAACGCGCTGGAGTCCTCAAACAGCCAGGCAGCAAACTCGTCTCGGACGGACAGAGGCGAATCGTTCAGGGTCTGGTCCCCTAGGCTGGGCAGAGGGTACGTTGCTGATGCGCCCTCAGAAACCTGTGGGTCACCGATTGTCGGAAGTCTGGAACTGCTTGAAAGGGTTCTCGACCTGTTCAACACAGAGGGATTTAGATTGTCGAACATATTGTCGGGAATTCCAGAGGGTCTTCCGGTTGCGGACGATGACCCCGTAGATGCCTCTGCGTGTACCCGATCGCCGGACTGTACAGGAGGCTGCAGAACAGCGTGAAGATCATGCGGCACAGGCGGCTGTTGGAAAACGTCTGCCGGCATGTGGCTGCTCGTCTCATTCGTCTCTGAGACATTTTGGTCGATAATGGCTTGCAGGTTAGTGACTTTGAAAGTGGAGTCTGTCGAATAAGGTGCCCGACCTAGAGGAGGCGATTGCATCGCATCTGAGACAGCCCTCGGCGTCGTGAACGTGTTCGAGGTTGGGGACGTGGGACTGTTGACAGCCTCCTCGCTGAGTGAAGGGGACAATGGCTCGCGAGTAGAGTCTGGGTGCTTCGACATCGACTTTCTCCGACTCTCATAGTTCTCATGCCGCTCCCTGTGGCGAATGCACAGGTCCTGTCGGACGAACGTTCTGGAGCATCCTGGGTAGTCACATTTGTAGATTTCCTTGGGATTGTCTCCCGCTCGGTCAGCTGAGATTTGGCGGGCCGTCGAGATTTGGACTTACGATTGAGCTGGTGGCGGTAAAGGTGCTCCGCGCGTGAATAATTGCGACCACACCCTGCGTAAGTACACTCGAAGCGGCGGCGACCCTCCGTTCTGCCCGAGCTCGAGCGGCGTCGACCGTCGGGAGAAGAGTTGGTGCTAAGCCCGGCCTGCTCAGTCGCGTGGGGATTGCTAAGACCCGTCTGGTCGAGACGGGGGCGCTTGGGTTCAGACATATCGTGATGTTCCTGCCAGCTCATCGAGTGACATGATGGACAGACGGCGACATGAATGGGCTCACTTGGAAAACTTCGCTGGGCGATGATCGCGCTGGCTCAGTTAGCGTGACGGTGGTCCGGGCTGGAATCGAGGTCGACGGTGGATCGATATGCGCCGGCTAGGAACGACAAAAGGCGATCGCGAGAACGTTGAGCTGTTGGCGACAGGCACGTGAACGACGTCCCGAGGCGATGGCCATGCAGGGTGGATCGATATCGTGATAGGAAGCTGAGCAGCGAGAGATACGGAGTACAGCTGCAGTGGTGGAAGAACAGATCCGCCGGAGGTGTCGCTCTCACACTGCCACAGCTCCTCCAAATGCTCTGGAATTCGGTGGCAAGACGGTAGTGGTACGAGGACTGAGAACTGTGTACGAGTCGTGGTGGCTCGAGGGTGGCGGGGATTTCAGGGTCGTTTGCAGCTGCAGTTGGGCGGCACGTCCTCCGTACCGGCTAGCTCTTTCCCCACAGTCGGCGGATCAGGCCAAACTGCGGGGCCCCTAAACGCCCATAGGCGCCCCTAAGCTGCAGCTAAGAGTGGTTGTAATAGGCGGGCTCTGATGACCCTTGCGGCAAATATACTGAGCAGGACAAGATACTGTGCAGTACCTCAAACACTTCCCTCCGCATCATCAATGTGTGGTCAGCAAATCTGTGCAGAGCACCTCCTGAGGCGCACACGACACGATTCAATTTGAGCCACCCCATGGCCACTCTGCTAAGCGACGCCTTCCACTAGCTGCCGGACGCATCATCCAAGTTACTTCTTCTTAAGATACAGGGTCTGCGAGTTGCAGTATGATTTCAAGCCTCCAACTCCAAATTCCGTGCCGATTCCGCTCTCCTTGAATCCTCCGAAAGGTGCCCTTGGATCGAGCTCGAAGTGGGTGTTTACCCAGCTATGACGACGTCAGACACTTATGAAGCCCACAGAAGAAAGACGATGCTGGGAAAAGGCACGACTTACACGCTGCCAGCTTCCAGCTCCTGTGCCACCTTCGCGGCGCGCTCAATGTTCCCTGACCAGACGGATGCACCGAGGCCGTAGGGAGTATTGTTTGCCTTTTCAATCGCCTCTTCGTCCGTGCTGAAGGTCAAGAGTGGGACAATAGGGCCTATTCAACCCAGGTTAGTTGCGCTCATAGCCACATCTGCGGCTTACACGACTTACCGAACGGTTCTTCGACGACAATCCTCGAATCCTCCTTAGGGCGATCGATGATGGTAGGTGTGATGAAGTAGCCTGGTCCTTCAGGGTTCTTGCCTCCGACAGCAACCTCGTACTTTTCCTTGTCGATTGCGTCGAAGAAGCCCTTGACGCGTTCATATTGCATAGAGTTCTGGATGGGACCGACAAAGACATCCTTCTCGAACCCTTCGCCGACCTTCAGCGTCTTCGTGTATTCGACCATCTTGTCGCGGAACGGCTCATAGATCTTCTCGTGGACGAATATGCGCTTCAAGGCGAGGCAGATCTGGGTGTGTGTCAACGTCTAGACCTGGACAATGAGCACACACCAGGACATGGCTTACCTGGCCTGAATTCAAGAAAGCGAGGGATGCGACCTGGGACAGATCGACGTCAGCTGAATCCTCCTAACATGCACGCCAATTTACCTTTGGAGCAACCTCATCGATGTCGACATCGTCGAGGACGATGGCGGGATCGTTGCCTCCTCTGTGCAATCCATTAGCTCCGGCGTCTGTAGGGGGAAAATGACGTACAGTTCCAGCGTGACTCGCTTGAGCGTCTTACTGCAAGACTCCATCACCTTCTTGCCTGTTGCAGATGAGCCAGTGAAGCTGATTTTGGCAGGTGTAGGGTGAGCAGTCAGCCATGGGCCAAGGCTGTCGTCTCCACTGAGAGCTTGCACAACTCCTGGTGGGAAGAATCTCTGTGCCAGCTCAACCACCTTCAGGCCGCCGTATGGAGTGAAGGGTGACGGCTTGATGATGATTGGATTGCCCGTGACCACACATGGCGCAATCTTCGAGCAGCACAATAACACGGGATAGTTCCAGGGCACGATGCCGACCGTAACACCAAGGGGCGTATATCGCACGAGAATCTTCCGTTCAGCTTCGTCAACAATCTCCTCCGTGGGTAGCTCCAGGCTTGCCATGGTCCGAATGATCTGAAGGGTGAAGTCCACCTCGAAGTAGGCAAAGTGGAGCGGCTTCCCCTGCTCTTTCGTCAACAACTTCGCAAATCCATCTTTCTCTTTCTCCAGGGCGTCCGCGAACGCGCTGACGGCCTTCTGCCTCTCGGCATAGGGTGTCTTGGCCCATGGCTTGAATGCCCTCTTGGCTGCTGCCATTGCCCTGTCCACATCCTCGGGTGTTGAAACAGGCACTTCGTGATTGGGCTTGCCGGTGGCGGGATTGATGCCATGGCGAGTCTTCTCGGTGGAGGAGAGCTTCCCGTCGATCACGTTGGAGAAGGTGGTAAAGTCCAGCCCTTCTGTAGAGGCACCATTGGCGGCGCCGTTCTCAGTTGCATGGGGAGCCATGGTCGTGCCTTGTCGAGCTTAGAGGCAGTTATCCCAAGAGTAGATTAGTTCTGTCGAGGGTCACCCACAGACTATAATCTCTTAGCCAAGACCTGGATCACAGGGCTGCGGAACAGGAGCAGCTGAAAAGTGCAACGGAATGAGTCCTGGGCGACGGTGCCAACATACAATACATATACCTTCCATGTCTCGTATTCCGGGTCACGTGCCGAGTTCTAGGCCTAGCGAACACGGTATCACGAACGGGAGCTGCTCTTGGTTCTTCGTGTGGTCCAATCCCGGGCCGTCCGTCGGGGTACAGAGAATGTCCAGGTGTCATGTATCCAAGGCGTTGAACCCTGGGATGGGTCCTTCGGGCAGTTTGTGCTCAAGAAATGCTGGGCAGCTGAAGTTTGACGCTAAAATCGCAGGGTACGACGCGAATCAACACGGGTTGTTTCCACATGTGTAACATCGACCTCGTAGAGCTTGGAGTCTAGTCCGTGAGTACGACATCAAGGGATGCCAGGAACGTGGATTCGGGGTCAAGTGGCTTCATGGGAATCACCCTGCTGAGTTGAGATGAGCCTCATCTTGACGGGTGGGCGTGCGAGACCGAGGCAACAATGAACCCCAACTGAGCAGTAAGTCAGGTAAGTGTGAATTTACCCCGATCGACAGTGCAGCCTCCAACAATGAGTTGCGGGCGAGAGCCGGAGTCAACGGGTCCTCACACGGCCCCGCGCTTATGAGCGACCGCACATGTTCCGGGGTCGTGACCTGTAAGCGAACACGACCGGCACGGGCAAATCCGCGCTGCCATTCGCTGAGTTCTCACGTCTTAGATGCGCTCAAGTGTTGTAATAGAGGCGCTAATGAACGCTCCAGTCGTTTCACCAGAAAAGACGGCCCGAGAAGACGGCAGCGAGAAAGGTAGTCCACTACTATGTACACGATGGGCACTCAACCAATCCTCCCACGTCGCGAGCCTCCGCAGTCAGGATTCCGTCAACATGCCAAGGTCCCCCACGGCGATTACCTGAAACGGCCACTTGAGCAGGACGGCATCCTGCCTTGACCTGCAGTAACCCTCCGGGTCAGGCGGTCGTGAAGAGCAGCGCGGTTTGCCAAGAACACATCCCAGGAGCCGACTGTGTACTACAGGGCACCACGATATAATAGTTCACTCCTCCCTCATACCAACTTGCGCACATATTCCACAGGGCCGTCGTAGACATGCCTGGCCTGCACAAAGTAGTGAAGGATCGCAAAGAGCATGACTCCGCCAAACATCAAACAGGCCCAATTCATCTGCTCGACCGTTGGGTCGGGGTTTCCTGGGAAAAAGGCGAATATGAAGGCGAAGGTCAGGAACAGGAGACTGAAGGCGTTCAAGAAGAGACCGACCGGCCGGCTGAAGGTGAATTTGGCCGGAAGGAGTGGTTGGTACGTCAATCGTCGCCAGAAGAGACAGCCAATCGAGGCAATGTATGAGGCTAGGATAGCGACCAGGGACAGGGACGTGATGTTGTTGAGTGCAATAGTCGAGCCGATGTTGATCAGCGACAGCAGGCACGACACGACGAACGAGACAATGATACTGTTCATTGGCACGTCCCAACCTGGTCGGACCTGAGGGGCCACGTCAGTATGGTGAGCCACGTCGGAGTGGCAGCAACACTCACATATGCAAACCAAGAAGATCCTGGAATACCCTGATCGCGAGCAAAAGACCATAGCTGTCGCGATGCAGTCGCAGTGATAGACAAGTTGCAGAAGATTGCCATGAAGATCACCAGAGCGGACAGGACCGAGGCGCCAGCGTATGACTCGGTGGCGTTGTAAAAGACCTGTACATAAGGCTGTCCAGTAGGCGAACTGATGACCTCGTCGAGGTTGCCAAGGACAAAACAGAAGGTGATGAGGATGATCCAACCCATTGCGCCGTTGAGCACCGTGGTCGCGATCATGCTCTGAGGAAGGACCTTGGATGCGTCCCGAAGTTCCTCAGACATGTGGACTGCGCCATCTGCGCCCAGCAGGGGAATCATGACGGCGAGGATACCCACTATTGCAGAAAGCCCATTGCTGCTCCAGCCGCCATAGTTGTTGAACGTGGTGAAAACGTCGCTTGCATTTCCGCGGGGACCCAGAACCCAGAGCGTGATGAGCACGCCAAAGAAGCCGAAGATGTGGATTATCAGCACAATGCCTTCCACCAGCGGTAGCTTCTTAACCAAGAAGGTATTGAAGAAGACGGAGAACGATGCCACCGCAAAGGTCAAGAGGGTGCCGTGCCATCTCTGGGGTGTATAGTCGGGATAGTTTAGAACCACGAGACCTTGGATTTGGGTACCGGCCAAGAAAGCTACATCCGTATCAGTAACCATGCATGCATGACAGTCGTAAGGATTCTAGGTTTTTCTAGAATTTGGCGAATCCGCGTCACCGAGGGTGCTTCTCACCTGT